CTGAGACTCGACAATATTTGCGGCAGGGCATTCTCTTGAACTACCCCTGACCCTTCTGCGGCAGGACGTCTCTTGGACTACCCCTGACCCTTTGGGATGATTGGGAATCATTGGTTAAGTGTGGCTAAGAAGAAGGGTTCGCCGAGAGGATGATCTCCTCTTCGGGGTTATCCTCATCCTCGGAGAGGTCACCTCCTCGGACAAGGTTGTTAGAGAAAATATTCCCCATGTGCCTTGCACATGGGCTCCATCCTACATCATGAGGTGCCTATAAATAGCACCCACCCATAGCTTTACAAAGGATGGATTTTTGGAGAGATAACTCTTGGGAAAGAACTAATTTTCCTTCTCCATTATCTACCTTGAGAGTGAAAATGGGAGATCTATAGGAGAGCCTTGCCATTATTCTTTCTCTAGCTACTTTGCCTTCTTCTTCACCCAATCTCTTATCTCCATCATTTCCTTTCTTTTGTGTTCTTAGTTGAGACTATTGAAGAATCTAAGCCTCTCATCATCTTCTAGAGAATTCGAATTTTTCTTCAAGGATCTTCGAAGATCTTCGAATTTTCCAACAACTTTCCTGAACCCTCTCATACAAGAAGTATACTTAAAGGTTTGAAGTTCACCATGTTTAGGAGTGTAACAATGGCCTGCGGCTCAAAGCCTGCCCACAGCCCGAGGTGGGCTTTGTCTGATTAGGCCCGAGCCAGAGATCAACCTAGGACCCTAAGCCTAGGCCTGGGCCATCATTTTGAAGCCTGACCCGAGGCCCGAATACCCTTTGGGCCTTGGCCTAATTTTTTGGCCCATGGCTCGGCCCAAATTTTGATGGGAGCCTATGAGGCCTGACATGGGCCGGGCCAAATTTACACCCCTAACCATGTTCGTGTTCATCTTCTCCATGTTGATCCATCTGAAATCAAACTCAATAAATACAAACATCGGTGCAAAACCCTTCCAATGTTGTTGATTCACACAAATCCAAACCTAAATCAAGTTGATTTGGGTGAAATTTTGAAACCCTAGATAAATCCCAATTGTTCTCTCCTGTTTACATCAGATACGTATGACGTATAAGTTTCCTCCTATTGATTTTATTTTTTTTTTTAATGGAGATATAGGTGAAAAGTCTGTTTTACTCCTTTACCAGTTTTGAATCTCACATGCAGGCCACGTTTTCACCTTTGCCGTTAACAATTTGGATGCCATCTATCATTTGGACTAAACAAAACCAAAATGTGATAGTTAGGGACTAACATGTCAAAATTAATAGTTTAAGGACTACATAAACAAAATGGTGATAGTTTAGGGGGGTAAAAGTGTAATTAGCCCAAGCATTTAGGATAAATTATACTGACACCTTTGAGGTTTGGCTCGATGATAATAATCCCTTGACATTCTAGAAACTACATTTTCCTCCTTGAGGTTTAGAGTCACATTACAATTTCATCCCTCTGTTAGTTAACTACTCAATCAACTAACAGAAAATGCTGAGGTAAGCAATAAAAAAAATTTAAATTCCTATTTTATCATATTCTTCTCCATCTTCTATCTCTATCACCTTTCTCAAAAACAAACTTGAGACCCATGAGTCCGGATCCTCGGTCGCACTCCCTTGCCGCCCTCCAAAACGACGTCGTTTTGGAGTGTTTTTTTTTTCTTCTTTTTCTTCTTCTTCTTCTTTCTTATTTTGCTTTCCCCTTCTCATTTTTGAACCCTCACCTCTGAGACAGAGAGGCAGATCTGGAGAAGGGTTGGTTAATCAACCTGGAGACCTCACTGGGTTGGTTAATCAACTTGGTGACCTCACTAATAACTCTCTTTCTCTCTCTCTCTCTCTCTCTCTCTCTCTCTCTCTCTCTTCATTTCAGATTGCAAATTGAATCGGAGAGAGGCATGAAGGAGGAAGAGGAGCAACAATCATCGACCCAAACCACACCTCTCATCAGCCTTCCACGGTGGCACCACCGTCTCGCCACTCTCCTACGCGCTACCAACCTCCGCCTCAAAACCATGATCTGGTCCGAACTCGAGGGCTCCGTCGGCGACCTCGGCATGTACATCCCTATAGTCCTAGCCCTAACCCTAGTCTCCCACCTCAACCTCTCCACCACTCTCATCTTCACCTCCCTCTGCAACATCTCCACCGGCCTCCTCTTCGGCACCCCCATGCCCGTCTAACCCATGAAATCCATCGTCGTCGTTGCCATATCCGAATCTCCTCGCCTCACTATCTCCCAAATCGCCATCGCCAGAATCTCCACCGCCTCCGTACTCCTCCTCCTCGGTACCACCGGCCTCATATCCTTCTTCTACCGCTTCATCTGTCCTCTACCTCCACCAACATACCCAATAAACCCGTATTAACACAACTTTGCAAACTTTATTACAAGGAAGAGAGAGAGAGAGAGAGTGAGAGAGAAACATACCAGTGTTGATGTATCAGCAACATAGAGCCCAGTGTTGAGTGTTGATGATAAGAAAGAAAGAAAGAGAGAGAGAGAGAGAGAAAAAAAAAAAACCCTCCAAAAACGACGTCGTTTTAGAGGGCGGCAGGGATGCGCGGCAGGAAAGTGCCACCGAGGATCTAGACTCTGAGACCCACACCCACCTCTATCATATTCCTCCCCATCTTCTATCTCTATCACCTCTCCCAAAAACAAACTTGAGACCCACACCCACTTCTTTTTTTTTTTTTTTTTTTAATATCAGAGAGACCCACACCCACCTTTGCCTTACCCAAACTTGCCAGCATTATTAAATTCTTCACATTGAGATCATCATAGACCTGCAATAAAAACTCATTTTATAATTTTGATCAAAACATCAAAAATAAAAAGGAAAATATCAATGCACTGTAGATTTATAAAATTAATTTAAAATTAATGATAAACTATATATACATTAAACTATAAAATCATAAGTTTTTCCATTGATCAATAATTAAATTTTGAAAGTACCACTGTTTTGTAATTGGCCCAAAATAAAAAGTCCCAAAAGTTCACAAGGTAACAGAACCTACAAACCCACAAAAATTAATAAAGTCAATACATCTAACATTACACTAAGAGAGAGTGATTTTGAAAAGTAGGTAACCAAACAAAATTTTGAGATTTTTTTTAGAAAAATTTGTTTGGTTTGATTACTCTTGAAAATTTGTTTGTAAAGAATTTTTCCCCCAAATTTTTCTGAAAAACAAACCAAACAAGGCCAATATTTTGAGCTTAGGTCAACTTTTAGAAAAGGGTTATGAAATTCAAATGAAGGACCGTACCCTTTGTCTAAGAGATGAAATGAATAATTTGGTTGCTAAAGTTTCAATGACCCGAAATAGAATGTTCTTGTTGAATCTTCAAACCCGACATGGCCAAGTGTTTGAATGCAAATGTGAAAGATAAGTCTTGGTATTGGCACATGAGGCTTGGACACTTGAATTTTGGAGGACTAAAATTGATGGCCAAAACAAAGATGGTGCTTAGGTTGCCCTTTATCAACCATCCGGAACAATTATGTGAGGGGTATTTATTTGGCAAACAATTTCGGAAGTCCTTTCTAAAAGAATCCATTACTAGAGCTACGGAGCCACTAGAGCTTGTGCATACGAATATTTGCGGTCCAATTAAACTATCATCATTTAGTAAGAACACTTATTTTCTGCTTTTCATTGATGATTTTAGCAGAAAAACCTAGGATTATTTTTTGAAAGAAAAATCTAAAGCTTTTGGAGTTTTCAAAAAATTCAAGGCATTGGTTGAGAAGCAAAGTGGCTATGTCATTAAAGCCTTGAGATCTGATAGAGGAGGCGATTTCACATCAAATAAATTTAAAGAGTTTTGTGAAGCTAATGGGATTTGTTGTCTTTTAACGGTTCCAAGATCGCCACAACAAAATGGTGTTGCTAAGAGAAAGAATAGATCAATCCTTAACATGGCGAGAAACATGTTGAAAAATAAGAGAATGCCAAAAGAATTTTGGACAAAGGCTGTGGACTGTGCAGTTTATTTGTCAAATCGATGTCCTACAAGAAGTGTACAGAACATGACACCCAAGAAGCTTGGAGTGAAATGAAGCCTAATGTCTCACATTTGCATGTATTTGGAAGCATTACATATGCTTGTGTTCCATATCAACAAAGGTCCAAGCTGGATTCTAAAACTGAGAAATACATTTTCATCAGGTATGATTCAAGTTCAAAAGGCTACATGCTCTACAATCATATTACGAGGAAGATCATTATTAACAGAGATGTGGAGTTTGATGAAGAGAGCACATGGGATTGGAATACTTAAGAAGAAGAAAGTTATGATTTCTTTCCAATTTTTGAAGAAGAGTAATCACTTTCTGAGGTGCCAGAAGAGCCTATTACACCTCTAGTATCGTATTCTCATCATCATGAACCGTCATTGTTGGAAGGAATCTCAAACGCTAGACAAGATAAGGAGTGGAGAATTGTTATGGTTGAGAAGATGAATGCCATTAACAAGAACAACACATGGGAGCTCGTTACTCTTCCAAAAGGACAAAAAGACATTGACGTGAAGTGGGTATACAAGGCAAAGAAGAATGCAAAGGGAGAGGAGAAAGATACAAAGTAAGATTAGTGGCAAAAGGTTATAGTCAACGTGTTGGGATTGACTACGATGAGATATTTGCCCCTATTGTCTATTTAGAAACTGTAAGGTTGTTGATTTCTCTTTCTACTAACAATAATTGGAAAATTTATCAAATGGATGTCAATTTTGCTTTTTTGAATGGGTTTCTTGAGGAAGAAGTGTACATCAATCAACCTATGGGGTATGTGATCAAAGGCCAAGAAGATAAGGTTTTCAAGCTTTCGGATGGTTTCACTAAATGTCCATATGAGCATGCTCTTTACACTAAAGTGCATGGAAATGGAGATGTCTTGGTTGTTTGCTTGTATGTGGATGATCTTATTTTTACAAAAAAACAATCCAAGCATGTTTGAGGAATTCAAGAAAGCAATGATTTGAGAATTTGCGATGACTAATATTGGACTCATGGCGTACTACCTTGGCATTGAAGTCAAGCAGATGGAGAATGGAATATTTATTTCTCAAGAAGGATATGCAAAAGAAATACTCAAGAAATTCAAGATGATTGATTGCAAGCCTATTAACACCCCCGTGGAATGTGGAGTCAAGCTAACAAAGCATGAAGATGGAGAAAATGTTGATGCAACTCTTTTCAAGAGTCTAGTTAGAAGTTTACGGTACTTGACTTGCATAAGACTAGATATTCTTTTTGGAGTTGGGCTGGTAAGTCGCTTTATGGAAGCACCTACAATGACTCACTTTAAGGCTACGAAAAGAATTCTTTGTTATGTTAAAGGAACAATTGATTTTGGCTTATCTTATTCATCCTCAAATGAATACAAGCTTGTTAGCTATTGTGATAGTGATTGGGCTAGAAACTTGGATGATAAAAAAAACACTACTGGCTTTGTGCTTTTCTTGGGAAATACAGCTTTGACTTGGAGTTCAAAGAAACAACTGATAGTAGCACTTTCTACTTGTGAAACTGAGTACGTTGCAGTTACATCATGCAATTTGGCTAAGGAATTTGATGAAGGATTTGCAATTTGCACAAGAGGAAGTAACGAAGATCTTTGTTGATAACCAGTGTTTCATGATCGAAGTAAACATATTGATACGAGGTATCATTTTGTTAGAGAATGCATTGCGAAGAAGGAGGTACAACTCAAGTTTGTGAAATTTCATGATCAAATTGCTAACATATTCACAAAGCCACTCAAGTATGAAGACTTCACCAAGTTTCGGACCTTACTTGGAGTTACTAAAGTCAAGTTTAAAAGGAGATGTTGAAATAATAAACATGATTTTAGTTCAATTAATTTAGGCACCTTCTAAAGTATCTATTTATATTTTATTCATGTATTGTCAATGTTAATGTATTTTTGAGATTCATGTATTCCTAGGATGAATGTATTTAGGAAGATTCATATATGTTACCTTGGATGTAGAAGATGTATTGGTTTCTTGGCTTGTCCATTAGAGACTATAAATAACTCATGTACCTAAGTGTTTTAAGTAAGTAGAATCAAAATATTTGAGAGTTAAGAATTCCTCTTCTCTCTTTCAATCTCTTTAGCCTTTGTGTGATCCATTTTATTTCCAACACCTACCATTGCCAATGGAAAAAACAAAAGATCAAACTTGGCAGTTGTTCGAACTACCACAACCCCAAAATCAAGCAATTAACCATCAAACTAGACACACCAAACTACGACACCACACCACAGTCTCCAACTGTGGCCCAGTCTCTCTTTTTCTTCCTTACATTCTCTGTCCCTCCAATTCATTCTTCAACTTCCTGTCATTTTGATTTGACCGTCGATTTGGGTTTGATCTGTTAAATGTTTAGTTTGGATTTGGTCTATTATGGTGGTTTAGGTTTGGTTTGCAACTTTTCTATCACGGGTTATGGTGGAGTAAACATGGGTGCATATGGTGTGGCGATGGGGGATGGTGAGTTGTGGGAGGTAGGTAATGGTGGCGAGTTTGCGATGGTGGAGGTAGAAGGCAAATGTGATGAATGTGATTATGGGTTTGTGAAGTAGTGGTGGCAAGTCTGTGAAGTGTTGTTATTTACAGGGTCTATGATTGTGGTGCTAGAAGGTAGATGGGGTAGCTGATAGAGTATGAGCAGTAGTGAGTAGAGATGGATAATGGTGGGTGATGGTGATTGATTTTGATAGAGGCAATAAAGAAGGGCAAAAGAGAAAGGTAGAAGAAAATGATAAGGGTAAAATAATAATTTACATTTTTAGTAAAGGGTCTTAAAGTCTTTTTATATTGTCGTTACTCATGTGAATAGACAAACACTAATAGGGGAGGTTAGTGTAATTTCTAAAATGTCTAGAGGGCTTGTATTAAACTCAAATTTTAGGGGTGTAAATATAATTTACCCAAGCATTTATATAGGGGAAATTTTGATATACACCATTTTAAAAAGGGCAAAACATCAATAAATCCCAAATTTTAATTTGTTAAACCATTTGGTCCTGCCTTTTATTTTGTAGACTAATAAATCCTATTTGAATGTTAATTAAATATATATCCATTTATTTAACACGTAATTTTTTTTTTTTTTTGATGGAGGGCAAATGTAAGTTTTTCCTAATGTTGTAATGACAAAAATACCCAAAAAGCTTACTATAGGCTTTTTTAAATTTCCTTCCTTTCCGGACATCAGCAACATTAACTACATCAGCAGCATCAACAACATCATCAAACATCAACTACATTAGCAACATTAACTACATCATCAACATCATTAAACATCAACTACATCATCAACATCATCATACATCATCAACATTGTGAACATCTTCAACATCATCAAATATCAGCAAACATCAACTACATCATCAAAAACATCATCAACGTCATCAAACATCATCAACATCATAACTATGTCTATAACCAGGTTGCTTCGAAGCCCATACGAAGAATCTATACCCCAAGCTTCCGGCGTCGCTGCAACGATTCAGGACTCGTTCTGTTAGCCCCGACCTCACGACGACGCCTGATTGTTGCAAAGCAAGTTCTAATTTTGGAACCCTAGAATGGAATTTTGTGAGAATTCTATACACCTTTTCGACATCAGAGGAAAACTCGTCGTTGTTGTGGTCAGTGGTGGAGTTGTCTAGATCGTTTTCGAGACAGACGAGACCAAACCCTATTTTGGACTTGATGGGAATTTCAGTATTGGAATAGGTTTTGGAGGGTGTGTGATTTGGGTTGAATTTTGATGGGTTTTCGGGTGAAGCTGATTGGGAATCAGTGGAAGAGAAATGGGGTGTGAAAGAAGAATAAAATTCTCTGGAGATGAGATGAAAGTGGCTGTTTGGTTGGGAGGAAACATCAAAACATCATCAACCTCATCAAACATCATCAACTACATCAAACATCAGCAAACATCAACTACATCGGCATCATCAACATCATCAAAAATCAACAAATATCTTCAACATCATCAAACATCAACTACATCATCAATATCATCAACATCATCATACATCATCAAACATTGTGAACATCATCAAACATCAACTACATCTCCAATATCATCAAAACATCAGCAATATCCAGTCTTTGATCTCCTTCTTCAACTGCTCATCAACATGCTTCTGGTAAAAAACGACGAGTGCTTTGGCGATGTTCTAGCTGGTGGCATAGATCTGGGAGGTGTGGCTACCACCGTTGATGCGGATGCGCATGTCGACGCTTCCAACCCATTAGAAATGGCATTGCATTCCAAAAAGCTGGGGGGAAAATAAATACATCAATCCAGATGTAAGAATAACATATATAATATGGTTAAGAAGGTATAATGAGCATCAATACCTCTTCAATGGTGGGTTTTGAATTTTGTTTAACTTCAATTGGTCTACCAACCACCACATGCATTGGATGGCGATAGGGTAACGGTGACCTGCAAGGGAAAGAATCACAAAACAGTTCCTAATTCAAACAGCTCCACAAAACTCTTGCTGAACAGATTCACTCAAGTACAGATTCAGAAAGTTTCTCTTATTGTTGGAGAGATTGGGAGACCTGCAAAATGAAATCAATATGGGTAAAAATGTAAACTCTATATACAATATATCAAAAATATATATCATACCAAAGATAAAAAGGACTAAATGGTTTAAGAAAAAACACTTAGGACTAACTAGAGCAACATTTACTTAAATGGGATTTATGAGTAATTTTTTCTTTTAAAAATGGTGTATTATAAGCACCTCTAGTAAGGGTGTTCGCGGTTCGAATTTGGATGGTTTACGGATCAGTATAGACCCACCCGCATTTATGCGGTTTGGGGAAAAGACAACCGGCAACCGCCCGCAATGCGATTTGCGATTTGTGCGAATAGGGTTCGCGGATGTGCGGGCACTTTGTGGATTTGATTTATTTCTCCAAAAAATTTATTTTTGAGCCTTATTATTTTTCCATTTAGTAAATATTTATTTTGGGCCCTTTTCTCCCTATTTTCTAAAATGCTCCAACATTAATAATTAATGAATTAAAACTTATAAAATTAAAAACACAACAAAATCAATTTGCAACACAAACAAATCATTCAAATCTTAAATCAAATTAACACAAGCACAAATTTCAAAATCCTAAACTAGAACTCCATATTCATTAAGGAATTTAAAATTCCAAATCACACTTCATCCGGGACAAGTTCAGTTATGCAACAATAATAATATGATCAGTATTTATTCAGTTTCAGTTGATATAATATTATTAGCAAATGTAATATTAGAGTAAGTTCAAAAAATAAAGGGTGTTTTGTTTTGGGCAAAAATATATAGGTAGAATATAGAAACGAAATCAACGATTAAGATAAAAATAAAAAATAAAAAAGTGCGGGCGGGTTCTTGCAGGTGCAAACCCCTTGCGGGCGCGGACCCGCCCGCAATCCGCAAACATGTCATATTTCAAACCGCATCCGCCCGCATTATATTTGCGAAACCGCCCATTTATATGCTAGTTGGGCGGGTTGGGCGATTTTTACGGATCGGATAAACCGTTGCCCACCCCTAACCTCTAGTTATATTATTTTTTTTCTTTAATTATGACTAATTTTTTTCTTTAGTTTTGATATTATTTTAGTTATAATTTATGAGTTCTTTAGTTATACCTCATGTTTTGTTTAGTGATAGCATTTTTTTTTTAGTATGACTCAGAAAATTAAAATTATGTATTTTTCTTTTTAATTATAAAGTACGTATGATGCACACCCTTTGAAGGTGTACACCATAGTGTTTCGGTATATATATATTTCAATATATTATATTAAAGGGGCATTGGACCGATAAATCTTAAAATTAGAACTTATAACCAACTAGTCCCACAATTATTTTAATGAACAAAAGAAGTCCTTATTCATGTAAATTGACACATTCACCATTGTTTTTATGGCATCGTCAAATTAAATGTCACATTTCAAAAAAGTACATTAAAAGATTTTTGTAATTACATTACTAGTTTGAACAAACAACATTCTATATTCAATCCACTTAAAATGTAACATGCCTATTATGAAAATCAATCCTTATGTCACATTTCAAAAAAGTATATTGAAGAATTTTTATTAAACAAACCACATTCGACATTCAAAAATCACATTTCAACTCTTATATCACGTTTCAAAAGCCACATCACCCAAAATGTAACATGCCAATTATGGATATCAACAATCAACCAACAAGGGTAAAAACGTCTTAATGTGACACAATAATATATTAAACAAGATCTCATAGAAAATGTTTTTAAATAAACAGAACTTACCAATCTATTAAAAAAAAAATCTAGATATATAGATTTCTGAAATGAGATTTTTAGGTAAATTTTTTTATATATTAAAATAGAATAAATATAATTAAATTATCATATGACCTGAGAATTACGGCATATCAGCATTTTTGGTTTATTATTCATATGACCTGAGAAATAGACAACTACTACCCTTTTCGGCAAAAGAGGAGGCAGTAGAGGTGTGGAAAAGCAATAGAGAGGTAATCACATGTGGTATGGTGTATGTAGAAACTCATGTAGCCCAGTGAGTATTCAAGATGTAACTAAAATTAGTTGATTCATTGGCAGTCCGTAAATCTGGTTTAGGAATGACAATAGATAACCTATCATGTGGGTATCCATCGAGACCCAACCCAAATACATGGGTTTTTTCTTTTTTTTCTTATCTATTGGGTATGGTAAGTGATATTCTTTAAATATCCAAGGGGATGGGTTGGGGATGAGTACCCACTAATTTTCCTATATGTTTTTTATTTATTTATTTATTTATTTATTTTTTTAAGATTCACAACCAAAACTAAATATACATTCAATCTTTTTTCTTTTATTTATTTATTTATTTATTCAAGTTCACAACCAATTTTTTTTTTTTTTCTTTTTAAGATCGACAACCAAATCTAAATATATATTCAATCTTTTTTTTATTAATTTTTTTATTTTTAAGGTTCACAACCATTTTTTTTTAATTTTTAAGATTCACAACCAAAGCTAAATATACATTCAACCTTTTTTATTTTTATTTTTTATTTTTTTTATTTTTTAAGGTTCACAACCATTTTTTATTTTTATTTTTAAGATTCACAACCAAAGTTAAATATACATTCAATGTTATTTTATTTTATTTGGCTCAACAATAAAATCAAATACACATTAATTAATATTGTCACATTATTCTTGTCAAATTTTATGCATATCTAGAATTTTTTAAATTTATTTAAAAAAATTAAAGACACTGCCTAGTGCAGGTTTCAGTTTGTTTTTCTATGTTATTTTATTTTGTTATATATTGTAATTTTCAGAATAGTTTGCTTGTTCTGAAATTTCAATTAACGAGTATGAATCTATTTGTTTTATGTTATCACACAATTTATACAACATATATATATATATATGAATGTATTTGAAAATAAGAAAATTGTAGAGAATCGAAACAAGCATGAGTCGTAATTGGTTAGAAAGGATGGGTACAAAGATTTATTTGCTGAAAAAACAAAAAGGGAATACAAAGTCTTACTAAATAATTTTTTTTTAAATAAAAGAATTTTTCTTAGTTATGAACAGATTTAACTAAAATCAACTTGTTTCGCAATGTTATGCTTCATTTATTTAGATAGAAAATATTTTTTAATGAAAAATATTTTTTATAAAAAAAATTAAAAATATATTTTTTTATATTTGGTGGTGGTGGTGATGGAACGAAGGTGAAAGTAAAGATTGTGACATAGTGGTGGGGTGATGGCCGCAGTGATGATGGTAGTGGCTATGGTGATGGTAGTGTGATAGTGAAGGTGAGAATAGTGGTGATGGTGTTGTGAAATTAGTAAAAATTTAATTGAAAAAACATTTTTTATTATTTAAAAGTAACAAACAACAAAATTCGTGGGGGACTAAAGGAAGAAGATGGAGGATGGATTGGGTGTGGTAAGGCATAGATATCTTAAAATGAGTGGTTCAGATTTGTTAAAAGGTATAATTAGATTTTAGACAAATTAAAATGAATGGTTCAAATTTGCTAAGAGAAAGATAGTTTAATGTCTAAAATGTCCGTGACTAAGAGATCAACAAACAATTCCTTATTTATGCCCTGATGCAATTTAATTTGGGAAAATGCGGGCGACACCCAGTAATGGGCGACCCCCAGCGACCCCCAGCCCACGTGGCTGTGGGTGATTGGCAGGAAAGAAAAAAAAAAAGAAAACTGGCGAATGGCGCTGCACCACGTCACTGGGGTCGACCCCAAGTGGGGGTGTGTAGCATTGTTGTTTAATTTGGGTCTTATAACACTTTCTTCAAACAGGTTCTTTCACATTTTATTTCTTCAAACAGGCTCTTATAATATTGTAAACAGGTTCTTATAACATGTAGAGAAGAGAGTGAGAGTGAGAGAGAGATGGTTGTAATTTTTTTTTTAATCTTCCATGTTTTTCCACATTTTTTTTAATTACTAAAACTTATTTGATTGTCTCAAAATTATATATTTGATTATTATAAAACAAACTTTTTAATTAATTAATTAATGTGTATTTGATTTTGTTGTTAAACCAAATAAAATAAAATAAGATCGAATGTATATTTAGCTTTTGTTATGAACCTTTAAAAAAAATAAAAAAAATAAGTTGTTAACATTAAATATATTAAAAAAGAAAGAAAAAAGATTGAAGGCATATTTAGGTAAAACCTTAAAAAAAAAAATTGTTAACATTAAATATATTAAAAAAGAAAGAAAAAGGATTGAACGTATATTTAGCTTTTGTTGTGAACCTTTAAAAAAAAAAACAAAACAAAACAAAAAAGTCGTTAACATTAAATATATTAAAAAAGAAAGAAAAAATATTGAAGGTATATTTAGCTTTTGTTGTGAACCTTGAAAAAAAAAAAGTGATTGTTAACATTAAATATAAAAAATAAAAATAAAATAAAAATGGAGATTAAAGTGGGTTGGAGAAAATCCAAACCCATTAGGAAATGGACAGGGTGATACCCATGGGCAATGGGGAATGGGAAATGGGAAAAATTTATTATAGGGGAATGGGGATGGGAAATTAATATCCACCCCCATTAACCCCCATTGCCATCCCTAATCTAGCTTTCACCGAGTAACCGTGAATTAGTTCTTAATTAATGAAATGGTTAAAGTTTAATTAATTCTAACTTATTTTTTCTATACATTTTAAACAAGATTTGGTTATTATTTAATTGAAAAACTCATTTTTAATTATTTCTTTAAAGCAAGGAAACCTAGAAGATGATAAAACAAAAAGGAAGTTTCAAATCAATTTAAAAGTTAAAAAATAATTACAAATTAATGATAAATTTTAAAATATTAATAATTAAAATTATAAAAAAAAATTTTTTTGTATATGTGTAATAATTTTCTCAACTTACATCTCATGGGCAACTTTTCCCAAAAAAAAAAAAAGGCATAAAAACAGAAATTACTAGACAAAAAACAAAATTTCCTACTAGTAAATTTACCGGGACAAAGGCCCAAGTGAAGCAATCCACCCAAATCAAACTCGGACGTTGCTTTACTACTGGATCGTTAATGGGCCAACTAAAAATAATTTGGAGCACTTATTTGTAGGTCTTATATGTAAAATTTAAAATTCATCTAATCTAAAAATAAAGGAATGAACTCCTTTTCATATCTTAATCTCTCAATACCTCTCCATATCCCTGTTATAAGCCTCAATTTAGATTCGCATTAATGATTCAAATCATCTATTTCATAAGTTTCATAATAAAAGTCATTCATGCAAAATATGAGTTTATCAGAAAATTATGAATTTAAGAAAAAATAGTATTTTGTTTGATAAAATAAAAGACAAATGTGATCGTAAACATAAATCACCCATTTTATAAAATAAAATGTTTTTTGTTTATGTGTTTATAATTTTTCGATGAAACTCATTTTTTGCATGAATGATCTTTATTACAAAACTTACAAAATAGACGGTTCAGATCATTGGTACGAATCCAAATTGAGACCTACAAGAGGAGTATGGAGAGATAAAAAAATGGAGGGGAGTATATCCCCAAAACGAGATACTTGTGTCAATTAGTGTAACATATTTTTTATTGTTACTAAAATTATTTATTTATTTAAAAAAAAAGAAATTTAAAGATGCTGTTATATCCTACCACCGTCGAAATTTCGTCAAACGGTTACCGGTGGCTCGCTCAAAATTTCAACATCACAAAGAAGTAACCGAAGTATCGCTAGAATTTAGCTGAAGTATCACCGAAGTATTTTGAACGTCACTAGAAATCGCCGAATTGTGTAAAATGTTCCTTGGCAAAATATGTTAAATATTGATAAACTGAAAGAAAAAAGAATATAATAGCAACAATGAGGGGGGAAAAATGTTATTTTTCAATTTTTAGAGGGTTTAAATATATAATCTCCAATATTGATCAAACTAAAAAACAAGTTTTAAAATTGTAAAATTGTTAGAGTTTCAAAGTATAATTCTATTAAGTATTTATTCTTATTAATCAAACTGAAAAACATATTATGAAACTGTAAAATTTTGCAATAAAATCATGCTATAAAACTGTAAAATTTTACAGTTCTAAAGTATGTTATGAAATTGTAAAATTTTACAATTTTAAAGTATGATTCATTTGGGCACCAAAAAACTGAAATTGGAAAATTTTATAATTTTCATCACCTGTAACTAAAACTTGAAAACAACTTGTTCAGAATTTGAAAATTTTCTCTATTAAAATCAGAAAAGAGAAGTGTGTAATAAAGAAAAAGTAAATAAATAAAAAAAAAACCTAAGAGATCGAAGGAGAGAGACCAATACAGAGAGAGGATTATACTCCTGCAACTATTTTTTGTTCAATCTAGCCGAATCTGATATAGATCTACTCAAATCTAATGTAGATCTATTTACTCATTCTCTTTGCCGGAAACTCATCTCATTCACTGTTAGTGAGAATGAAACAAGGAGTCAGTGGTTGGTGGTTGCCGATGAACCCTAATTGATGGTTGTCATAACCCAACCTCGGGTGCTTAGGGCTGAATTCGCAACTATCTAATTAATTCTAATTTGAACAAATTAAATGGCATAAGCGGAGACAAGATAAAGTAGTAAAGAAATTAAATAGGTAAATAAATAATCAAAATACTCAATAATTTTTTTAAAAAAATTATCGAGACTTTTATTAAAAAAATATGTAAAAATCTGCATTAAATCATATGCTAGTCCCATTACATGAGATTACCATTGTTCCTTACATTTCATCACCTGAAAAAAAATAATAACTGTAAGCACATGGTAGAGTGAAAAAAAAAAAAAAAATTGTTGTAAGCACATGGTAGAGTGATATATATTATACTGAGAGTATAAGAATATAAAATCACCATGGATAGTTATTTAAGTCAAATAGAGAATAGTTTGGTTCGAATAAATCATTTAAATAACAGAAACAAAATGCAGAATTATAGCAAAATAATCAAAACCACGATACGGAACAAAATGGAACAGAATAGAGAGTCAATAGATCCATAACATACAGAAGGTCACAAAGTAACTAATTAGAGGTCCATGGTTATTTAAGTCTCTCAAGGAATAGAATCGTCAGAGGGTCATTAAAATGACAATTCAAATGCTAATGATTGTCTAAGTCTCCCAAGACATGGAACCTGTGTCTGTAGTGGTACTTATAAAATAATTACTTAAAACATATTTAATAAACGGTTATATGCATAAGTTTTCATTTTAAGCAAATAGGATTCATAAATAATGAACGTAATTGAACATTAATGTAATTTATAAAATATGAATTGCATAAAATAATTTGTGGTAACTCTAGACATATATAAAATATTTTATGATGACTCAAGATATAATATTACTCACTTTAATACTAATCCCCTACTTTTACTCCTCTGTTTACTGAAACTCCGCCTTTTACTGACCACACCTTCACTTGTTACCTCTTCCTTACTTCATGCACCAATTTATAGATGCTGGGCCATTGCATTTGGGCAAGGTACCAGCACCTGGGTCATTGCATTTGGGCGAGGCAATCACGTGGCATCACAAGGCAAGTCCCATTAAATTGCCTTCCCAAGCTTATCTTAAGGTTTATTCTTATCACTTAATTCTTTTTTCCTTTTTTTGTTAGCCTAATGACTGGTAACTTAAATTAAATTACATTTTCACACATATAATCATTAAATTAAATATATTAACACAGTATTAATATTAATTAATCATTTGAAATGTCACAATGAATGACTATATATCAAAGAGAGAAAGAGGAAGAGAGAGGCGTGGTCGCCGAATATCAAAAAAAGAAAGAGAAGAAAGAAAACGTAGAGAAAGAGAAACGGAAAACTTTCATGACTTTTGGATCTAACCAAAAGATTGAGGGATTGAATAGAGTGCACATCTTTCAAAAAGGACATGTGAATTCAACTTAAAATTTTTTTTGGGTGAATACAACTTAAAATTTATCAAAAAAAAAAAAAGATAAATTACAATTTGAACAATTTTATTACTTGGATATGACTTTAATCCCCATAGTTTCAATTTGAACAATTTAATTCCTAAAATTTTAATTTTGTTGCAATGTGATCCCTCCATCATTTACCATTAGAATTTGAAAAATAAAAATTAAAATTAAAATAAAAAAAAACATGCTTACAATTAGAAGAACCAAAATGAAATTCAAAACAAACTACAAGGATCCCTGGTGTATTATATTCATTACACCGATAGTTTTTGTAATTTGTTTTGAGTTCCACTTTGGTCCATTTAATTTTGCACGTGATTTGTTTTTTCTGTTCAAAATATTAACCATGCATGACAAAGAGACCAAATTACAACAAAATTAAAAGTGTAAGGACTAGATTATGCAAATTAAAATTACGGGAACTAAGTGATACTTCACTCAAACTAGAGGGACCGGTGTTGTAATTTATCCAAAAAAATATTAAAACTACAATTATGATGGGATTTTTGAGCGAATTAATTTGCTAGTCATGAAGTTAACGCCAAACACAACATCAAGATGTGTGGCCACTATCCACAGGGTCTAGTTTTCCAGCTAGTTGCAGTGATAAAATTCTCTCCATTGCTTCATTCCGAGCACAATCCGAATGGAGCTTGAAATTACAAGGTGCACATTCAATGCTCCCGAATTCAACAAGCTCACTGCAACGGTCGCACGCAGAGATATCCTTAGGTTGATGAACACAACTGAGGTTGTGTGGGTGGTTTGCAATGTTGAGCTCACCCCTATATTCATCAATTTGAATACATAATGTATGAAGAAATAGGTTGTAGTCAACACAATGATAGAACCAGCACTTCGGGTTAATTTTCCCCCAACAAATTTCACAATAATTCTCACCCTGATCGCCAAAATAGGTTAGAATGAAAGGGTGTTCGTTATATCTGTGTTTAACTGTCTGCGGCAAGGATGCACATCGAGTGTGTAATGTGAAGTTGCAAGTATCACATCCAAACCCAACCCCATAACAATCATGCTTACATGCTTCACAAGGAACATTGCATGTTTCCTTTAGAGCAAGGGTGTGTTGATGAGATTCATGTGTGATAAAGCGTTGTGGTAAGAATCTAACTGGATGAATGCATTCCTTATGAAGAGACCGGTTGCAGTCATCACAGTGATAGAACCAACAAAATGGGTTTACTTCTCCCTCACAAATTTCACAGTAATACTCATCCTGATCGCCGAAATAGAGTAGGGAGAAAGGGTGTTTGTCAAATCTGTGGCTAACCGTACGTGGCAACAAGGCACATCGAGTGTGTAGCTTGAAATTGCAAATGTCACATACTAACCCGACCCCATAAAAAATTTTATGACATGCAAAACACAACCCTCCAGTTGTTTCTCTTAGGGTAAGGAAGTGCTTATGAGTATCATGCAGGATAGTGCCTAGTAAGGAAGCACACTTCATGTCGAGGAAGAAATCACAGGCTACACAACCAAACAAAACCCCATTGCAAGACATTTTGCAACCTTGGCATAGGGGTAGATCAGAATATATGGATTGCCATCTGTTCAGTATTAGCGGGTGGTTTGGGTGAATTGGGTGTTGCAGCTCAATGGGCAACTCGACACAACACTCATGCATAGTGAAGTTGCATTCAGCGCAATGGTAAAATGGGGCGGTGATTGGCTGTGTGCATCCAGCACATACAAGTAGTTTGCTCGCGGTGCATGATTCATCATTGATATGATTGTCAACAAATAATAATGTATGATAATGACTAACATGGTCAATCTTCATTGGTTTATTACTCTTCCCCTCCAAATTGATCTTCTTCTTGAAATGTGTAATAAGATTAATTGATTCATCAAGCAGTGGCAAGCTCATCAAATCGGGCTCAAGTTTTTCAACTCTACCATCATTGTCATCGACATCATCATCATCATCATCTTCATCAACCAGTGCCAAACCAATCAAATTGGGCTCAAGTTTTTCTAGTACAAACTTTGTTTTTTGGTCGATTTGTTTAGTTTTGCATGATTCTTCTTCCAACTCTCTAAGATCACAACATTAAGAATAGAATGTAAATCAAACAATTATAACATGACAACAACAAAAACAAAAGTAACACTATAATAAAAGGAGGAAGAGGAGATCAAACCTGGAAAGCTTTATCTTTGATGTCAAACAATTTATATGGGCGAAATATCTGCATTGGGCACAATAATATGCCCAATATATTCTGTCCACTTTTTCAGTGCAGATTGCGCAATAGGAAGTAAATCTGAAATGTTCATATGGAAAAAAATAGATGAGGAATAGAAGGTGATCATGCTCACTATATTTTATGGTACTTGGTAACAAAGCACAATTTTGGTTGACCCAGAATCGGCAAGTGGTACATTGATAGAATGTGCCTTCGTGTTTGGTGCCACAAGCATCACACAATAACAAAGTTGGCCTCTGTAGAGGAGTCAAAGGGTGTTTGTGACATATGTGCTCAATCTTCTGCACCAACAAGGCACACAATATGTCGAGCTGGAAATTGCAATCAAAACAGCTGTAAGTGAAGCTCTCGTAAGGTTGTTGGCAAGCACTGCATTCGTAAGCCGATTGAGAATAAGGCAAATCTGGGAGTAAGATAAGGTGGTGTTCTGGGTGCATGGGGTGTTCCATCTTTGTTGGTAGTTCTGCACACACTTTGTGCAAAGAGAAATGCTGACATTGCCTGCAACTATAGGTTGGACCTGAAATAGGTTGCTGACAAACATAGCAAGCGACTTCTACACCGTTATTGTTGTGCTCTTCCTCGAGAATCAATGGATGTCCATGGCTAAAGTGTTCCAACTCCATCTCTTCTCTCTCCCAAACCTAGTAGTGAATGAAAGTGGTAGCTGAACTGACCATTGAAGTAATGAACTCGATAAGACACTCAAATTATGGGCTCTATTAAAAGATTTAAGAAAAAATTTTGGGACTGAGATTCTCTCCATTATTACATTGTAATGGAAGATCTCCATTATATCAATCATCCAAGTGTTGTGAAATAATCATGAAAATTTATCGATATTTTAAATTTAGAGAGAATCATAACAAGCTCTTAGATAATGCAATGGAGAGGATCATAATCCAAAATTTTGTGCAGTTTACCCATGAATAAGTACATAAGCATGTTTGTTTTGAAGAATAAGGGTGTGTGATTGGACTATTAGTCCCACCGGACTAATAGTCCATTGTTTGTTTGAAAAATTTTGTTCCAAACTAACAGTCCATTGTTTGTTTGAAAAATTTGTTCCAGACTAATAGTCTATTAGTCCCACAAACATGGGACTATCCTATCCCATGGGGGAGGTGGGATAGAAACCATGGGATTGGTATCCCATGGGAATTATTTTGTGAAATGTCTATTTTACCCTAAATAAAATTATTTTTTATTGTCGTTAATTTAAAATTATATATTAAATAAAAAATATAAATTATAAATTAAATTTATTTAAAAATAATAAATTATAAATTATGGCCTTATAAATTAAATTTTTTTAGTGTTGTTGAAAATTTAATTTATATATTAAATAAATTATTTTTTTAGTATTGTTAATTTAAAATTATATATTAAATAAAAAATATAAATTATAAATTAAATTTATTTAAAAATAATAAATTATAAATGATGGCCTTATAAATTAAATTTTTTTAACCAAATATTGGATTTACTAAGAATAGTCCAATCTAGACATCTAATCCCATGACCAAACAAACATAGGATACAAATCCAATCCAACCAAATAGTCCGGGGGATAATGTAACCGGGGACTAACAGTCCGATGGATTACAATCCCCCTTATTCAATCCGTCCAAACATATAGTTTCCAGAAGTCACACATAGAATAAAACATAGGGGTGAGATGATTTTCTGGACAAAATTTAAATCAAACAACTGTCGTCGCTTAACAAACTAGGAAAATTCAGCACTTGCAATAGTTTATTTAGTTCAACCTCATAGCAAGCTCCTTGACAGCTATATACGCCTTAATTACAACAATGTCTACGAAGTCTGAAAAAAATTAGTATTAAAACAAGTGATAATTACTTTAGGTAACGTATGTATTTGATTACAGGATGTTATAAGAGACGTTTTCACTGAAAATTGCATTTTTAATTGAATAGTTTTGTAAGTATTAAATATTTCTCAAATTATTTGAAAAAAATACAGCACTCTCAAACACCTCAAAAGGCCCTGGTTGAGTGGTTTAGATTTTGCAACCTTAAAAAAATGAAATTAAAATAATATTTCTTAACTAACTTGAAATTTTAACATTATGTTAGTTTTAATAACTTATTTTATCGCATATTAATTTTTTTTTTAAAGGATAAAAGTTGTTTAAAAAAAAAGTTTGATATGTTTGACAAATGTTTAAAATGTTGTTTTTTATTATTGAGAAAGTTCGTAAGATTTGAAATTTTTTTGTCTTTAGAAACTTTTTGTGAATTTTTCCATTTGTTATTTTTAACTTCTTAAATTATTCTAGATTAGAAGGACCAAAATATAAAGAGCTTTAATAATATTTTTAAATTACTACAACAATAACAATAAAAAAAAAGTGACTTTTTTTAACATTTGAAAAAAAGGATTGATCTTGTAAAAAAGTGACTTTTTTCACAATTCAGTATTTTCCAAACACGCAAAAGAAAAAACAATTAATAATAATAATAATAATAATAATTAGAGTAAATTATAATTACACACTTGAAATTTGCTTCAAAGATAAATGACCCTACAAAATGAGTAATGATTTATTCCCCCATCCCCGTTGACCCCCTCTCTCTCTCATTGGTTACCTTTTCTTTTTCTTTTTTTTTTTTTCCTGCTCCCCCAATCACCACCCGCCATGTGACAAAGGGGGTGAGGGGTGACTCTAAAAGGGGGTCCCAAGCATTATTCTATTTATAATTTATCCTAATAAATTATCCAACCCCACTGGGTTAACTCGAAAAGTCGAGGCTCGAGTGGCCCCTTTGACTTTTCAACTCACTCTTCTCCAAACAAACATCCCCTCTGTTTCTTCTCCTCTTCTTCTGTATTTTTTACTCCACCACCCCTGTTTCTTCTCTTCTTCTTCTTCTCTATGTTTTGCTCCACCACCACAACATCAACTCCCATCTCAAATCCCATCTTCTACAAATACCTCATCAAAACTTTCTCATTCTCTGAATCCCAACCAAACCCAAAATCAAAATCAAAATCAAAAATCAATCCCAAAAGCAAAACCAAACCCACATAATCAAAATCAAAATTAAAACAAAATCAAAATCAAATCAAAACCAAACCCGCAGAATCAAAATCAAAACCAAACCCATAGAACCAAAATCAAAACAAAATCAAAATCAAACCCACCGCCATGGCCCCCTCTCTTTGTTTTCTTCTCCTCTCTTCCTCCTCTCTTTCTCTCGGCTCTTTCGCCTCTGTTTCTCTCTCTCTTTCTCTGAAACTGAAACCAGTTTCAGCGTGAGGGACAAAAAAATAAAAAATAAAATAAAAAAATTATCGTATTGGCGCTTGGACATTCCAGTCCAACTCCCGTCTACCAAGCAATTTTCTAAATCATCAAAAAGTATTCGTAAATTACCAAAAAGTAAACTTTTTTTTGATAGACTAAAAACAGATACTGTATCCGATCTATAAGTAACGATAAATGAAAGGCACACAAATTACTATATAAATTATCGTATCAATACATATATATTATGACATTGTTATTTTAAAATTATATACTTACTTATAATAAAAATTATAAAAACTTAAACCTTTTAAAATTATATTATAACATTCATTAATATATTAATTAGTATATTGATTATTATTTAATAAAAAAACACAGATACTGTACAATAAACGCATAATTGAGGGTTTGAAGTTTTGAAGAAATAGTGATGCATAAAATTTCTAGAAGGGCTTTCTTCAACAATCTGCAGCAATTCACAACTCAAAAGCATAAATAAAATACCCAGAGAGAGAGAGAGAGTATAGTGTGTGAAACTGACCTATCAGAAGGCAAGTCTTGTCTTCGTCGACGGTGGTCGGAGATCCTCTAGGAATGAATGGGTCCCAAATCAGCCTCTGAACAGATCAAGAATTCATATGATAAACGGAGATATAGATGCAGCAGAGAAAATGAGAGAGAAAGATCGAGGAGGAGAGTTTGACCTTTTTTTTTTTAACATGCTTAGGCTAAGCCACCGGGCTTGACATTCTAGACCGTGGTTCTATTTGGTGCAGCTAAAAGCTGTTTATTTTAATTTTTAATTTAATTTAAATTATTTTGATGTGTTTGATTTAGTTTATACTTTATAACTTATAACTTTTTGAAAGTCAGAAATCAGCTTATTCTTTGAGTGGGGCAGGAGATGCTTAATTTATAAGTCAGAAATCAGCTTATGTTCATAGTTATAAGCTATAAGTTGTTTAAGCATAAGTTATAAGTACTTTTCCACAGCTCTACCAAACAGGACCTGTGTTGTGGGTTAGATATTTTTTGGGGAGAGATTTTTGACAGAAAAAATACCACACCGTTTTCTTTCTATTTATTCCATTTCTATCTCTATCTGTATTTCTATTTGAAAAATGCTTGGGAGTACTTAAAAGGGAATCACTAAAAGGAGCACTAATGATATGGCAGTGAGCCCCGCCTACTTTCTATGCCTCATTTTATTTTTTTATTATTTTTTTGTCATTTTTAATGTGTTAGTGCTATTAGTGATGTATTTTTTAGTGATCTAAATCATTGTTGTTTTTATTTTTATATTTAACAAATGCCGCTCTCACAAAAATTTCGGTCTAACTAAAATTACCTCATTGCCCTTTGCTTCAAACATCATAATCATCACATGCCATCATATATGCAATGTCTCATATTAAGCTCCGTATAGTAATTACATATTTTAATCAAAGGGTCATTATAAATTATTATATCATTCTTTTTATTTTTTTATATATCATTTTATAAAAATCAAAAAATTATTAAAATAACTTATTCTTAAACGAAATCTAAATAAGAAGTTATTTGGAAATACACTAAATAAATGCACTTATATTTGATAAATATATTTATTTAGATTATATCCCTTTTTAACATTTTAAATTATATTTATTTTTCAATAAATTATGCTCACCCTCTTGAAGTTTGAAAAATACATAGTTAATTTCACATCTTTAACATAATTATACTGATTTTTCTCAAGATTTTAACTCACATAACACTAGGTCATTTTTCATTGATAATTTGTTAATGGTATAAATAAAAGATGATGACATTGCATCTTTCTTTCTTTTTTCTTTTTTTACTAACAGCCCCGTTACAGAGCCCGAAAGCCCTGGATCGAATTTGGCTCGAATTTGAGAAGAAAGAAGGAGGAAGAAGAAGAAGAAGAGAAGGATGAAGAAGAAGAAGAAGAAGGAGGAAGAAGCAGAACTGGAGGGGCCATCAAAATCAGGCTGGAGGCGGAGGCAGGGCTGCGATGCGACGATCGGCCGACGAGCGACGAGCTGCGACGATTGGCCGACGAGCGACGAGCTGCGACGACTCTCTCTCGCCTCTGTTTCTCTCTCTCGCCTCTGTTTCTCTCTCTCGTCTCTGTTTCTCTTCTCCTGTGTTCAAAATGAAGAAGAAGAAGAAAAGAAAGAAAAGGAAGAAAAAGAAAAAAAAAATTGAAACCCAAAACGACGTCGTTTTGGGTTTCGAGCCGAATTCGAGCCACTGATTTCGGGCCCTCAAACATTTTTCTTTTACTAAAATGTATATTTATCTTTATTTATTTATTTCGGTGTTTACCCATTAGTGTTTCAATTGTTTTAACCATACTAAAAGACAATTTAATGTAATTATTTCAAAAGTGTGAACTTAATTATATATTTTTTCAAATCTCAAGAGAGATAAGTATAATTTACCCTTTGTTTTTTTAATGCAAAAGCTATTTTTTTCTACTTCTCTAGGTTTGAATAATGCTTAGGTAGTGTTTAAATCATGAATTTGGGAAGATGTTTAAAAATGGTCCAAATACAGCGTTATAATTATGTATTAATTTAGTTATTTTACCTTGTTTTTACCATCACCAATAGGGATGTAATAAAAATTAAAAAAAATTGACCAAATCAATTGAATCGGACCTAGCTGGTCATATTTGTTTTGTTTTTTTAACAAGAATCAGACTATGCAGTTTTTAAATTTGATTTTTTTTTTCAATTTTTGATTTGGTATCGATTCAAGCACCTTGTGCACCGAACTAAACCAAAATCGACCGTTTCAACATATATTGTATTTATAATATATATAATCTAATAATATAATGACATTAATAAAAAAAAAAACAAATTATTAACCTCAACTAATTAACTTTATCATCTCTATAACCAAAGTTATTAAAATCTTATTATATATAATCTTAACTCTAATTTATTATTCTTGGCCTTTTGTATTTATTTATTGTTAATTTAGGAATTAAAAAGTATTTATTAAAATGATCGACTGGATATGTTTAAAGTAGTGGAAAAATAACTAATTCAATGTATTTACATAGATTAATGACTATACAAAAAAGTGATTTAAGTTTGAAAGGTTCTAAACCAATTAAATCGCATCGAATCGAATTGTTACAAATGATTTGGTTCAATGCAGTTTGATGTAAAAAACAGTTTGTATCAGTGCTCAAAATAATAAAACAAACATTATCGATTCAATGAAAATTTTTATCTAAATACCAACCGTACCGAACCGATATTTGTCTGGAGAAAGATTATGGTACACACCACAATATCACTAAAAACAAGTTACAAATTTTTGTGGTGTTATTTTTTTTTTGGGGTTAATTACAACAAAAATAAAATAAAATAAAATAAAATCCCAAGGTTTCACACATTTTTCACTTTCAACCTCAGTGTTTCAATTTCGACAAATTTCATCCGTATTTTAATTTGCCTTTCTGTCCATCTCCATTTGTATGAGGTAACAGAGGGAGTTTAAAGTGAAAAATATTAGGGTTTAAAGTAAAAAATACGTGAAATCTTGAGATTTTTTGTGTAATTAACCATTGTTTTTAAAATTAAAATCATTTAAAAAAAAAGGTTAATTACAAAATAAACTCCAAGGTTTCACATGTTTTCACTTTAAAATGAAAAACACATGAAACTTTTGGATTTTTTTTTGTTGTTGTAATTAACCCCTTTTTTAATTTATATTTTTTTCTTTGCAATAACTATATTTTCTTTTTCTTTTTTTCTTCTCTTTGTTTATATAACACCTAATTTATTAGGGGATTTACATGTAGGTCCCACTAAGTGGACTTATTGTCTAATAAGTCATATGATAATTAATAACATTTTTTTTATCATACACTATTAAAAAAAGTCACTAATTGTTAATTTTCAGTTACAGTTTGAAAATTTTGCCACAAATCACTAATTATAAGTTTCAGCGACAGCTTAAAAAAATCGTTACAAAAAAAGTCACTAATTTATAACTTTCAAAGACAGTTTGAAAAATTAGTCACAAAAAAGTCACCAATTTTAAGTTTTAGCGACAATTTATTAAGACCGTGACAAAAAAACAAATTCACTAATTGTCAATTTTTAGCGACATGTAAAAAATCGTCACAAAAAATTATTTTTAGTAACAATTGTAATAGGACTTATTTTCAATAGGACTTTATGGGAATTCTAACTATTACGACCTACTAGTAATTTACCCTACTTATAATCTATCTATACTATATATTAAGGAAAAATGGATTTTTAACCATAAACATTTTCGTCTGTATCTATATGAGAGGGAGATTCTTGACCTAATGTGGGCCGAGCTGGCTCGGGCCTCGGTCAAGGTCTTTAGCTCGATCAAATTTTGGATACGAGCTGGATCAAGGTATTAGCCCGGTCTTATGGTACAACTTTAAGGTGCTAGCACAGCCTGGGGATGTGCATCGTACTAAGGCGGACGAAATTTGTCCTCAGGTTAGGTTTGACAAGCAAGAACTTATCGTGGACTATAGAGTTTGGTTGAGCTCACACTCAGGTTTGACCGATGGGACCAAGCAAGTAGCGCTGTCCCATAGGAAGTTTGTGGCGCCGCGCCAGGCATAGCACGGTAAGGTACGCTACGTGGCATGTTCGGATTGCAGAAAAGAGATTCCGCCGTCTGTACACATCAATACCGTTAGGTGATGTGGCCATTTGGTGTTCGGCAGTATTTGCGCTTACACGTGGAAGAAAGTGAAAGGGGAACATATCCACGCGTCAGGAAGAGGACAGACAGAGGAGCGCACAGAAACTATATAAACGGTGTTGTGCCTCTATGCACAGGTCTGGAACTTTTCGTTGTCAGAGCTACCTACCCCTTTGTGTCCTCTCTTTTTCGCTTCTTATCCTTCTCTCTAAGCGTGCTAACTTGACCGTCAGAGGAGTTTTCCGGCCGCACACCACCAAGTAGCTCATCGTCTTTGTGTTCTTAGGTCATTCAGAAAAAAGAAAAAGCTTGGACACGAAGAGTCCAGAGAGCGATGATTATTTCCTTCCCGTACAATTAGCGCCGTCTATGAGAATCTTTGACAGACAAAACCTTGTCCTCCAAGCTTTCTCGACCATCTTTCATGGTGAACAACGAAGATATTTCGTTGTTCGTCAACGACGGTATCACTTCGAAGTCGGTTCGGAGAAGAGATGGCATTTCTGCCATTCCAACCATGGCAGGCCTGGAGACTTCCTCTCGAGGGCTCTCCAGAGACACGCGAGACAAACGCGCGAGGAACGCAAACCATTCACAGAGTCTTGAAAGGTGCCGGCCGCGAAGAGAGTCGCACACTCAACACCTGGAGCACAAATTGAAGGACCAAGATGCCATCATTCTTAGGATGGCAACTGAGATGAAGGTATTGAAGCGGCAAGTCAATAGGAAGGGTGCTGCTGGAATAGGAAACCACAGTAAGCGTGCCCAACCCCATCGTTCAAGTAGCCAAAACTAGAGGTAGACGCCATCCATCTCCATCACCTGAAGTTATAGGGTTGGTGATTCTGACCCGTTGGCGGAGAAGTCTTGCACATAGGATAGCAGCTACCATCCCTCACGTCTATCGATGACATCAAAATACACTTACTTTGCCCATTCAGAGGACTCGAGGGACGTCCTAGAAGAACGAACATGTCGGTGGGAGGCGCAAAGGGTCCCGACACTGCAGCGATTGTCCCACGGAGGTCGCACCAGTGAAGAGATCAAAATACCATCATCACGCCTGGCAGTGCACGTGCCATTGGACAAGGACTTAGCAAGGCTGAGTGCCACCCCTTTCTCCCTCAAGATAGAAAACACGCTGCTTCCAGCTAGCCCAAGTTCACACTCTATGACGGAAAGATTGATCCCTATATGCACTTGAGCCACTTCCTACTAGTCATGGCTAGCTACAGGCAAAACGACGCATGTATGTGACTAATTTTTCCATTAAGTTTGGGTGAGTTGGGCCTGAAATGGTTCGAGAGGCTACCAACGGAAAGTATCGAGGGGTGACAGCAGTTGGTAGAGGCATTTGTGACCCGATTCAAAACTAACACAAAAGCGCCCAAGGAAGTCGACCACCTTCTGGCTATCAAGATGGAACCGGGTGACTCACTTAAGGTGTACAACACCAAGTATTGAAAAATATTTAATGAGATTCTTGATTGCCCGACTAATCTAGTAATTACCCAATACAAGCGCAGTCTCCTAGTCAGATATAGGCTGAGAGACTCCCTCACCATGAATCAACCGACAACCATGGAACTACTGATGCAGCGCATCAATGAGCACGTCCGAGTTGAGCATGATGCTACTACAGCCGCCGCGAAGGTGAATTTGGTGGCAGTAGACAAAATGGTGGCCAAGATAGTTTATACTGTCGGCCAGGAGGCAAACCGTCCACATAACCGTGAAAGAGAACAAGGTCATGGAAATAACCATAATAATCGGGGTAAGGGTCATCACAATGACCGAGCTGACTACCCCGCGATACTGCGAAAGATGCAAAGAGAAAGTTGAACGCCTAAACTAGCATTACCACGGTTTTCAAAATCTCAATCTACCGCATTCTTAGCGAGATCCGTGACGAGGCATACGTCCGGTGGCTAGCTAAGTTGGGTGATGCACAAAGAGGCTTCAATCCAAGGTATCCTTGCACCTACTATGATGAGCGTGGGGCACCGCACAAAACACAATGTCCCTTTAAAGCAGCATTTAGAGGAGTTAATGGCGGCCGACCACCTGGACCGTTACATTGATGGACGCATCAAGGCTGCGCCCCACATTCAAGCTCAGCCAAATAGCTAGGCCGTTTTAGAAGCACCCCCCTAAGGCATAATCAATGTGATCCATGGGATCATTAAGCTAGCGCGGGTATGCGAGCTCCGAGGGATGACCTAGAAAGTGGAACATATGAGAGAAGTTCTGTCGGTCCAACCTCCCATCAAAAAAGGCAAAACCGAGGTGAAGGATATCCTAAATTTTTTAAGTCGAGATCTTGAGCGCATTCAAACGTCGTACAATGAAGCGCTGGTGGTCACACTCCGCGTGAAGGACTTTGACGTTAGGCGCATTTTAATCGACTAGGGTAGCTCGGTCGAAATAATGCATTATGACGCTTTCAAGCAGCTCAAGCTAAACGACAAGGACTTGGCCCCAGCGACCTCACCACTAGTTGGCTTCAACTTATAGCAGGAGTGGCCTGTAGAGAAGATCATCTTACCGGTCAAAGCTAGGTCCATGGTCAAGCAAGCAGAATTTTGGGTGTTAAAGGTGGCCTCCACTTATAACCTGATCCTTGGTCGAGGATGGCTTCATGCCATACAAGCAGCGGTGTTGACTTACCACTAAGTCATGAGATTTCCCTCTGCTACGGGTTCATAGAAGAAGTTTGGGGCGATCAAGTTATGGCCAAGCAGTGTTTTGTGGCTATGAATGGAAGCTGAGCTGCCAAAGGCTTCGTACAAATGATTGAAGGTCTAGAAGATCAAAGTGTCCTAGATGACGTGGCTACCAGAGCCGAAGAGAAGGCTATCGAAAACTTGGTAGAGGTAAGAATCAATGAGAGTGATCCTGATAAGTTCTTTCTGCTATGATCCACTATGACCACCCAAAAACGACTAGGGATGGTGAATTTCTTGGTGGCAAACATCGAGGTGTTTGCTTGGACGCCTTACGACATGCCTGCTATCGATCCAAACTTCATTTGCCATCAACTCAATGTTTTTCTTGATACCTGGCCAGTCATCCAACGAACACGAAGATCAGCGCTTCGTCACGACGAGGTGGTGGCTAAGGAGGTGAAGAATTTGTTGGAAGTGGGAACGATCCGGGAGGTGCACTACCCGCGATAGGTCTCTAATACGGTTGTCGTGCCAAAAAAGAATGAAAAATGGCAAGTTTGTGTCGACTACAAGACGGTCAGCCGAGCTTGCCCCAAGGAAAGCTTTCCCTTGCCTTGAATCGATCAACTGGTTGGCCTTACAGCTTGGCATAGAAAGCTGAGTTTCCTAGACACCGCGGTTACCACCAGATTGCTATACATGAGCCTGACCAAGAAGTTACTTCTTTCACGACGCCAAAAGGGTTATTCTGTTACAGAGTTATGCCATCGAGTTAAAAAAACGCCAGAGCGACCTTTCAGAGGATGGTTACTGTAATATCCTTGTTCCGTAATATGTTAATTGGTCCTTAATATGAGTATGATTATGCGTTTAATATGATTTTGTGTGCCATTATGTGGTCTTGGATTTCTATCTGTTCACCGTAGGAATATCTGTTTAATTTATCTGCTTTGGAAATTTAATTGGAGGCTTTATCGACCACAGAACCCGAAATTGATTACGCCATTGGGATTGGCATAATTTTTGGAACCTATGGTGAAATTTAATTGAAAATTGACTTGGGTCAAATTAAATCAATTAAATCGGTGAATTAGAGCCCAATTATCTTATTAATATTATATTGGCCTTAGTGGGTTTTGTTGTGAAGTTACTACACTCTCTATCCTCTCTTTTTCACTTCATTTTGGCTGAATTTGGGATTCAAAATAGAGAGAACCGGCTGTAGAGAGAGAGAAGGAGAGAATTGTGTGATTTTTTACTCAAGCTTGGGAATTTGAAGATTAAGCTCAAGATTTGGCTAGAACTTGAGTGTTTAAGGCTCCTAGGTGAGTAATTAACCCTTGAATCATGGGTTTTTCTTTGCTATTTGTAAATTCAGAGCTGAATAAGAATAAAGAACATGAATTTAATTGAGTATGATGAAATTGAATTGGTTTTATTGAATTGAAGGCTAAATTGTGCATGCATGTAAGAAATTGTTTTAAATTTGCATGCTTGAGCTTGAAATACATGATTCATGTAGAGTTTTGGTTAAAGCTCATGATGTAATCACCAATTGTATTATCTAAGTTGAGAATCATCACATGCATTTACAAATTATAAGGTTGAATGCATGACATTGTTATGTTGGTAATGAGTTTGGTGGAAAATGAGCCATGCATGTGTTTGATTCATGAGATTAAGCTCCATGTTAACGTCTTCTAGTGTTAGTACAAATATATGTGAGATTGGAGCCATTGTATGCAAGAAAAATTAGTTGAAAGTCGATTTGGAGCTCAAGAACTCATTGTGGAAAACCCAGAATTTTGGTGTCCGCTCGAGCGGAGGGGGGGGAACTACTGCTCGAGCGGGAAATATGTGCTCCCAGCACTTTTTGCAGACATGGTGTCCGCTCGAGCGGGGAAGTTGGAGCTCGAGCGGGGAGCTATGTAGACGGGCCTTCCGCTCGAGTGGCCGAATTCACGCTCGAGCGGGGATTTGATGTAACCAGTACTTTTGCAGGCCCTCAGGGTCCGTTCGAGCAAGGAAGTCCACGCTCTAGCGGGGACCCTGTTTTCTGAAATTTTGAAAATGCATTATGTGTTCTGGTTTCCGTTCCCTTTCACTTCTAAGCACTCTTAGGCATACTTTGAGCATTGTAATTGAATTAAAGAGATAAGAATGAAGCCTAAAGAGGAATGTGTAAATTAAAGAACGAATTTAGTTATTTGTGACCCATATATGTTATGTGATGTGTAGGGTCAAGCTCCAAGGCAAATCCACAAGCCGATCACTGTAAGTAATATCTTAACAAAAGATGTTTGAATATGTTGTTGTCCTATTGCTTACCTTTATGTAAGTCTGTAAGTTCATTAATTTGAATGGTGGACAATGTCTGATATGAAAGTTTGCAATGGGCCAGAGGCCGTTTTGACAAGAAATAATGAATGGGCCAGAAGCCGTTTTGACAAGCATGAATGATTGGGCCAAAGGCCAGTTTGACATGAAAGTGTGAATGGGCCAAAGGCCGTTTTGACATAAACGAATGGACCGAAGGTTGTTTTGACACGAACGAACGGATCGAAGGTCGTTTTGAGATATATGAATGGACCGAAGGTCGTTTTGAGATAAATGAATGGACTGAAGGTCGTTTTGAGATAAATGAATGGACCGAAGGTCGTTTTGACATGAACGAATGGACCGAAGGTCGTTTTGAGATAAATTAATGGACCGAAGGTCGTTTTGAGATAAATGAATGGACCGAAGGTTGCTTTGAGATAAATGAATGGGCTGATGGTCGTTTTGACATAAACGAAAAGACCGAAGGTCGTTTTGACATGAATGAATGGGCCAGAGGCCGTTCTGACACAATGAAAGTATAAATGGGCTGAAGGCCAGCCTGATACGAACCACGGTCACTTGACTTAAATTGTGTATATATATATATGTTAAATAGAAGTATGAATTGGGCCCAAGGCCGTTTGGAGTATGTTGTTCTACATATCGTTTGTATGATTTCTTTGTTTGATATTATTCACTGGGCTATCGCTCACGCTCATTCATGTGTTTGTAAGTAAGCCAAGAGAGGTCCAAACCCAACCTTAGTGAAGTTTGTGTGGAACAACCAAGGTTTTGAAAAGTCAGCCCTCGTGTCTCACGAACGAGACACGTCATCGCCCTTTTGCTATCTTGTGTCATTTTGTCATGTTGGCGAGGACTTTGGTTTACGTCTGTATATAGTTTTGTTTGGCTGACTTAGATTCGAATGATCCTGTATGTACAGAGGTTGTGTTAGTACATATTTTGATGTGAGTTATTAATATGTATCTGTACGATTGTTATGATGTGCCATGTAAGCACAGCTCTATGGACAAAGTTTTAAATTGCTTCCGTTTGGCCCCCATTAACTTTGTTAAAATACGTTTGGTTTGGTTTGAGGTCGTAGGTAATCTCATGATTATTGGCCGGTTACGTCCTTAACCCATGGGGGCGGGTTCGGGTCGTGACAGTTACCAAGATATTCGCTCCCTTGCTCGACTAGAATATGGAAGCATATATCGACGACATAGTCGTGAAGAGCAAATGTGAGACCGACTACTTAGCCGACTTAGCGGAGATGGTCGCCATTCTCAAATGACACAAGTTGCGTCTGAACGCATCGAAGTGTGCTTTCGACGTGGGGTCATGGAAATTCTTGGATTTTTTAGTCACCAACCGTGGAACTGAGGCGAATCCCTCTTAAATTAAAACCATACAAAAATTGAAGCAGTCCAACTCAGCAAAAAACGTGCAACATCTTGCCGAGATGCAAGCCGCACTTAACAAATTTATAAGCTGGTCATCAGATCATTGTCGCCCTTTCTTCCAAGCCTTAAAATCAAAGTTTTCATGGGACGAAGAATATGACAAGGCATTAGCTGAACTAAAGACATACCTATCCTCAGCTCCACTTCTTGTTATACCAAAGCAGGCAAAAAACTCTTTCTTTATTTGGCCGTTTTTCACCATGCCGTCAGCGCGGTACTTGTTAGGGTAGAAGGCGTACAACATCTGCCGATCTTCTATGTGAGCAAGACCTTACTCCCAGTAGAATCGCGATACTTGCCGCTCAAAAAACTTGTCTTGGCACTAATGATGGCCTCTAGAAAGTTGGCACATTATTTTCATGCGCACACGGTCGTTGTGCTGACTGAATTTCCATTGAAGGCCTTGTTTGAACAAGCTGACTTTTCCGGACGAATCTTGAAGTGGGCAGTCGAATTGGGGCAATTTGACGTCAAGTTTCAACTAAGAACGGCCATCAAGGTCCAAGCCTTGGCCAACTTCGTTGCAGAATTTTCACCTGGAGCTCACACAGTTTGCCCGGTGGACCTTACCTACGCAATCGGGCTAAGGGGGGTGGGCACCGCGGAAATTGCCCAGCCAACTCCCACTCCAGTCCAAGTCTTAACGAGTCAAACATGGAAGGCGACGCGAAAATTGCGCGCCCGTGCACAGACCCATCAATTGAAGGCCCACCTCACCTTGGCAATGCGCTAATGGATTTGGAAATAACAAGCTAACCCGTTGGATCCAACACCGCATCACCAAGGGAGGATGGGGTTATGCAGGTTGCAATCAACAACAGCGCACTTGACGCAAAAATAGTCGAGCAACCGAGCAACTCAAAATGGTTGGTCCTCCGAAATTCTAAAGACCCCGCAGAATATTGGAAGCTTTTTATCGACGAGATGTGGAAACTTTTCATCGATGGCGCTTCAAACAAACATGGTGCCAGGTAGGCGTAGTTTTGATCCAGCCAAACGAATTGACTAACATTCCATAATGTTGGGGTTCCCTGCATCGAACAATGAAGCCGAGTACGAAGCGCTGCTAGCTGGGCTGAAAAGTGCACTCCGACTACAAGCATCAGAGCTTATGGTCTACAACAACTCCCAACTTGTGGTCAACCAAGTGTCTGGGGAGTATAAAGCCAAAGATAGCAGGATGGCCAGATCTCAAACCTTCGTGAGAGAGAAAATCATGAAGTTTTAAGCCATGCGAGTACAACAAATAAGCTAAGAAGACAATAGCTGTCACGACCCAAACCCGCCCTTACAGGTTTAGCGTCATAACTGGCCAGTAATCCTTAGATTACCAAAAGCCTCTTAACAGCATAGCATATAATTAGGGGCTGCAGAAGCAAATAGCAATTATACAACGTCCATTGAGTTGTGCAGACCTATATGAGACAGAAAAATTTTAAACTTTATATACATACATATATACATCATCATATATACGCACATATAAGCTAGACAAAAAGGGACTTAGCGCTATTTACAAAATACACAAAAACTTGTCTAACTAAACAGGAAAACAAAACTTCAATTTATGCACTTAGTCATAACCACTAGGCATATCCGGAACCTCCACGGGGAGGCACATAGGTTGGCTGTCAAAACGAAATTAGGCTGAAGCCGCTAACTTTGTTCCGGTGCCTGACCACCTACATATATACAATAAACTGTGAGCTAAAGCCTAGTGAGTAACGAATGTGTAAAGGGGAAAAGAATGAATGTCATTTCAGTAATTAAAACAGTCAATTGCTTCTGTAGATCAGTTATTTAATCAGTGTCTCATATTTCATGTCATATCAGTCATTTAGAAACCATAGCAGTCATACGTGGTACATCTAGTAGCAGAACAGTACAGTAGGTCTTAATAGACTGAACAGTCAGTTGATGGCCATCAAAAAGTAAATAGTAGTAGCTCCAAACGTTGGAACTGACAGAGATCTCTGTAACAGTAGCAGTAACAGTAACAGTAGCAGCAGCAGCAGCAGTAGCAGTAACAGTAACAGTAGCGGTCAGTTGCTATGGATGCCACGAGTACAGTTCATAAAATAGGACAAACATTCATTCAGTAAATAATCATTTCAGAAAACAGTACAGTTAATCGTTTAGAAAATAATCATAATTGAACGTAACTTTACAGCATTGTTACTCACAGATGGCTCCACTAGTAGATCAGATAATGCAGATAGTTCAGATTGATTAGGCGAACGATAACCCGTGGCCTACACAAACCCATAACATATGCACATCGAAACACAATATCAATTCCTTGATCAAGCTTGACTTTTCTTGTCTTTTTCTGTCTAAGTAGTCCGAGATTCTACTACGTGTATTCTTCCTTTATTCAAATGAATTGGATTCTTATTTCACATATCCTTTCATTACTAAATCATTCTTTTCTGGATAAACCAATTCTTACTTGGCTTCTTAATCAAGTACTACTAAGTTAATGACTTATTCTTTAATCAACTAATTAATGTTGATTGTTAGTTTATTAATCCTTATTGAGCCATAAATCATGTCTAGAATGCTTTGGAAGGAGATGAGAATAAAAAGGTGAATTAAATGCAATTTTTTTCAAAATATGTTGAAAATAGGATCTTCGCTCGAGCGCCACTTTGGTCACTCGAGCGGACTGTAAAATTTTACAAAACTTTTGGGAGCTCAATTTTCACGCTCGAGCGAGCGGACAACATGAATTCTGGAATTTTAAATTTCTCAAAAATGGCTTCCTAGTGCATTTTCAATCTTTAAACCCATACTAACCTTGATCGAAACTTTGAAAATACTTTAGAAAATATAAACACTTATTATTTATAAATTATTTGCTCAAAATCTTGAAACACAATATTTAAATCAAAACTCATGAACTCATGACTCTAAAATCCCTTTTCAGAATCAAACGCACAATAAAATTGCATATAATTTATGGAGCTTGATTTAATTATAACTTCGAAAATCAAATCCAAAATAATTAATTTCTAATTAATCTTCATAAACTTGATCTTAGCTCCAATTCTTCATTTTCTTGTCAATTTTCCTAGCAACATTGCATACATGTAATTCAAATAAAACTAACTAATTAATATATTCAATAACATGGTTAAATCAAATAACACTCTTAAATCACATTACATGCATGGATTAGAGATTCAAACCAAACCAATTTTTAGGTTTCAAAAGAAAATCAAAACCTCAACTTGAAGAATTCTCACAATTATTTCCATAACCACAAACATGCATGTAACCCATTTCATGTTTAGAACCCAATTTCCTTCCATAATTTTGAATCCAATTCAATTTCTTCATCAGTTTACTAATTCCTCTTAAATCATGAAATTAAAATTACAAACTCTTTTAAAGAAATATTTGCATGTATGCAATTAGGATCAAAACTATTGATTATATATATATATATATATTTTTTTTTCCCAAGCAAATCATAATTTAATCCTTGAATTACTCTAATTTAGATTTTTATTAATTTTCTTCATATCTAACCCAAATTTAAACTTATAAATCTTTTGCACATGAATTAAATCTAAAACCTTGAAATTCTAACATGCATGTACGGATGAGTTTCAATTTATGAAGAATAACAAAAATCAAATTCTAACTAATTAATTTTCAAATTTATTTCCATAATCTTAAACATAATTTCAAGTTTCTTCATCTTCTTGCTAATTCCTATTAACTACATGATTTTGAGTCCAATTTCATCTTTAATTTCAAGTGTAATATAAAGATTCTATAAAAATTAAGCTTGATTTCATACCTTAAGCTTTAATTTCAGCATTGTAATTGATTCTCCTCTACTGCCCCTTTTCTTTTCTTCATTTTCTTTCTTTATTCCATAGCTTTTCTTTGAGTTCTTCTCCAGAAATAGTACAAATCTTGGACTCACTCTCTCTCTCTCTCTCTCTCTCTCTCTCTCTCTCTCTCTCTCTTCGGCTTTTTCCTTCCTACAACCTGATTGAGTTACTTTTTTCCATCTCATATACATGTAGATAATGGATGCCCAGCAATGCTCTCAACTTTTCTAGAAGTCTCACAAGCATAAATCAACATCTTAATTAATTATAACAATATTAGATTATCTTGCCAATTATGTATTAATTTAATTGATTACTCTCTCTCTCTCTTTCTCTCTTTTTTCCTAGTTAATTGTGATTACCACTTAGCTTAATTAATCATAACTAATCACAAATTTCACATCATTTAATTAATCTAATTTGACTTCCATTAAAACCCAATCTATCATAATTAATTTATCAATTTGAATCAAATTTTTAATCAAATTCCCAAAAGGCTCAAAATATCAAATTAAATTTATTGTCGTCATCGATTTTGGTTTCTCAAATCTTTAAGGACTTCAATTTCATATCAAATTCAAAATCTCCGCCGATAAATTGCGTATTGGGCAGCTCATTAAGTAAATTTAGTTCAAACTAATCGTAATTATCAATCCTCATAACTTAATTAATTTAATTAACCTTAATTCGGACCCAATTAATCAAATCCCAATTTTACTAAATCCGAATCGAATATTTAATTAAACTCCCATAGGTCCGACACTTGAAATTAAATAATTCAATTCACCATGTGTATTATCTTGAGCCATTTAGGCTTTCAATTTCTAATTCTAAAATAAACCCTTAGTAGAATCACATACAAATCAGCCTTCATAATTTTTCTTAAATCTCAGATCAAATTAGAATAATTAACAATTAAATTTCAAATCTCCTTAATTAATTAAGTACTAATCATTATACGTGGTGGTGTCGTTACAAAAGCCGAGCAGATGAATTACCTGGTTTTGCTTCTATGGTCGACAAATTAGCTTCTAGCCCTTTCCTGATTGAATTGCTCCCAAGACCCAGTATCGAACAACAAGAAAAGCAGGAGGTCTTCTGCGCCGAGTTAGGTCCATCCTGGATGGACCCCATCATTTTTTTTCCTGAAAGGCAGAATCTTGCAGACCAACAAGAAAAAGGCGAACAAAATCCGGGTGAAGTCTAAGCAGTTTTTTCTCTCTTCGTCTGGCGCCTTATATAAGAAATCGTTCACTGGTCCATACCTTAGGTGTGTTCATCCAAGCAAAGTTGATGCTTTTCTTTTTGAAATCCATGAAGGGATGTGCGGAAGTCATATTGGCTGCAGGTCTCTAGCCTACCATGCTATCTTGCAAAGATATTGGTGGCCGTGCATGCAAGCCGACTCGCAAAAGTATGTGAGGAAATGCGAGAAGTGCCAAAAATTTGCTTATCAAATTCATCAGCCAACCAGAGAATTACTTTCTCTCACAAGTCATTGGTTGTTTGCAATATGAGGACTAGACATTGTGGGACCACTCCCAACTGCCCCAGGCAACCGCAAGTTCTTCATCGCCGCGACAGATTACTTCACCAAATGGGTAGAAGCGAAGCCCCTGGCAACCATCAAGGAGAAAAATGTGAAGAAATTTGTCTAGCAAAATGTTATAATGCAGTTTGGAGTCCCCAAAGCCTTAATATCCAACAACAGTACCCAATTCGATGGAAAACTATTCAGAGAATTTTGTGAAGAGCTGAAGATATAGTTCTATAATTCTACACCGGCCTACCCTTAGTTGAATGGCTAGGCCGAAACGTCAAACAAAACCATTTTAGATGGATTGAAGAAAAGACTAGAAAAAGCCAAAGGAAAATGGACCGAGGAACTTCCAAATGTTCTTTGGGCCTACCAAAGAACGTCGAGACGCTCAACAGAGGAGACACCTTTTGCCTTGGCATATGGCATGGAGGTAGTCATCCCACTGGAGATCAGCATGCCCACTATCCGTAGTGAAAATTTTGAGCCAGACTTGAATGCAGAAGCCATCACCCTTGAATTAGACCTTGTTGAAGAACGTAAAGAGAGGACACTAGCAAAACTAGGGACAAATTGGGAAGGGCTTTACAAAATAACCAATTTGGTAGGCAAAGAGGCATACTGTTTGGAAGATTTAGACAGCCAAGTCGTACATCGGCCACGGAACGCAACCAATTTGAAATTGTATTACTTTTACTTTGTACTTCCAATGTAATTTTTGCAGAAGGCAGACATGCCCCTCCATTTTCCAATGTAATTCTTTTAGTCGCCTTAAGAATTTGTGAATTCTTTATGCTACTTTGCATATGATGGAAATGAATTCCTGTAGAATTTGTTGTATTGATATATTGCAATGCACAAAAAGCATTTAGCTTCGAGCCAAGGTAACTTTGCCCGGGTAAAAGAGTTAATGAATTGCCCAACTCCCAACTTCCAGCTTCTAGCCGATGTGACTTTGCCCGGCTAAAAAAGTTGATGAATTGTTCAACTCCAAACTTTTAGTCGAAATGATTTTGTCCGGCTAAAAAAGTTAATGAATTGTTCAACTCCAAACTTTTTGTCGAGATGATTTTGTTCGGCTAAAAAAGTTAATGAATTGTTCAACTCCAAACTTTTTGTCGAGATGATTTTGCCCACTAAAAGAGTTGATGAATTGTTTGACTCCGAATTTTTAGCCGAGATGATTTTGCCCAGCTAAAAGAGTTAATGAATTATTCGACTCCGAATTTTTAGCCGAGATGATTTTGCCTGGCTAAAAGAGTTGATGAATTATTCAACTCCAAACTTTTAGCCGATATGGTTTTGCCCGACTAAAAGAGTTGATGAATTGATCAACTCCAAACTTCTAGCCGAGATAATTTTGCCCGGCCAGAAGAGTTGATGAATTATTCAACTCTTGCTTTCTAACCGAGATGATATTGCACGATCTAAAGTTAGAAGTGAAATGCACTACAAAATTACAAATGACAAGAAGTTGAGATTTTCATTAATTGAAAGTTCAAGTACAAAGTCGGGGGAAGTAGCCCGATTACAAGAGTTCAAAACAAAAGATAGAAAAAATTGAGCTAAACTAGGGGAGAGAGATTGGCAAATTCATCTCCAGCTCCGGCCGCGGTGCTCTCCTGGTTGACCATGACGGTTGCATCACCGAGTTCTTTTTGACCAACCTCGTGCTGTCCATCTCCTTTTTCGACCTCTTCTTCAGCTTCCTCTTGTAAAGAGTTGAAGACATCATTAGCATAAGGCACCATGTAGTTCGGCAGGGAGGCGGGGGGAGGAGAGGTAAACACCACGATTTCAGGTCCTTGGCCGAGCTACTCACAGGATGCCGTCCAACCGGACTTGAAAAAGATGTCCTTGGTGGCTTTGACCTACTTTGTGTAGCTTTCCTCGGTCTTTTTTTAGCCGAGGTTATTAGCCTCATCCACAGTTTTGTCCCTCGTCTTTTTCACCTTCTCCAGCTTGGCCCACAAGGCATCTCTCTCTTGCTCAGCTATACCAAGCTGGCCAAGGAGCCTTGTGTTGTCAGCATTCGCGATTTCGAGCGAAGCCTTAGCTCGGCCCAACTCAGCTGAGACATTCTTTCTAGCAGCGTTCAACTCGGTTACTTTCTACTGCAAGCTGGTAACACGGTCCACAACAAGGTGTGTTTTTTGGATAGCTTACAAGAAATCAGAATAAAGTTAGCCTAAGCAAGAAATCAACCGAGCAAATAGTTAGAAAAATTTTGAAACTCTTATCCTAGTCATTGACTTCACTGCGGACTTAACCATTCGGGTGTCTGGTACATGCTCGGTTCCAACCATGTTTTCTGGCAGAAGTAGGGACTTGGAAAGATCGAAAACAAGGAGATATTCCTTGTCCCCCTTCACAGAAGCTTTGGCCAGGATGGGATTTCCCCGGGATTTCATCTTTGGTTGCCAGGTAGGAACTGGCTCAACTTTGGTTGCCGCATGCTCGACATTAAGCTCGGCCTCCAGTTCAACTAAAGGATCGGCCGAGCAAGCCCTTTTGCCAGCCCTGCGCGACTCAACGTTCAAATCAACCGTTGAAGCCAACGCTATCACGATCCCTAAACTTTGACCAACTGTTAGTGCAGGCGATGGCTTACTCAGCAGCTCGATGGAAATGGCAATGATGAGGTTCTTGATTCAACTTCTCTTTGCCATCTCTTGTTCCTTAGTCAACTGGATTAGGGTCACGTCTAGAAATGTTAGATCTAGAGGTGAAGATGGTGCTCGAAGAAAATCAATGACTCTACTTTTACGAGGAACTGAGTAGCAGTAGCTCGGCACGTAATCGAGAAGCTCACGTCAATCTCGGTGACGGTACCTTAGCACGACTCTAATCGCAACTTCGTTTGGGTTGAAGTAGTTTTCTTACAACTCTTCAATAGCTATAAAAATAAAACAATTAATACAGAATAGTAAAATTAAATAACTTGACTGGTTAAAGAACTCAGCTTATAGGATGAACCGAAGTTCTTGCTTGAAGGGGCTGAATATAAAATGGGTCGAATCCAAGCCTTGGGCTGGCCCAATCCATTAAAGCCCAAATCCAAATAGATTAGATGAATATATGGGCAAGCCAATTGAGCCCAACTCCATGATCAATTGTCTACCCAAGTCCTCAAGCACTTGGGCCCAACCCGCAGTGGAAAGGCTAGCCCAGCCGCGATGCTAGGCTGGGCTGAGCTGCGAAACCTAATCTATGGGCCGAACTAAAGTGGGCCAAGCCCACACTAAGATATTTGAATAGACCAGCACGTCCCAACGGAAGCCTTGTATAGGGCCGAGCTAGGGTGCGAAGGTACCAAGCTGAGGGAACCTTGCAGAGAAACGTTGAAGTTGTGAGTATGTGCATGTGCAAGTTGCCACCTCAGCTGGTCTCCTACACCTAGAATCACGGAAGCTATTAAACCAGAAGAATGAAGTTTGTTATCAGCATGACTACAATGAATATATGCTTTTTATAACAACTATCAGGTGGTCCCCCACCTTGGGCAATGTTAAAAGGAAGCCTGGCAGCACCAGAGCTCCATGAAACCATCTTGAGAAGCAAGTAAGGAACACTATATATACTACATGAACTTCACATTAAAGGTAACTGAACTATTCCAAGTAAAGCTCCATTTACTTACAAACTCAACTCTCTACATCTCTTCTACGATCACTGATTCCCACACCGAAGGGGTTATCCGGCCAACCCCGGCCGGGCAGCTCTTACGATGTTTCTTGTGGTAGGAACCTCAGTCCCTGGATAGTCCAACCGAGTGCAGAGCCCCGATCCACTTTCATCTAGTGCAGAATCCGGTACGCACAATTGGTGCGGTGAGCGTGGATTACTTCATCTCTAAGCTCTACACTCAGTTTCGACGATGGGGATTGAGGACATTCCACCTTCGACACATACTCCATAGACGGAGAAGACGAAGGACAAAGGCTTGGCACTCCCAACAATCTTAGAAAAACAAACTGGAAACAATAACCAGACCCCTGAATCGTTCGTGCACTGATTACCCTTCGCTGGAGGTTCTTCTCATCACTTTCTTCTAAAAAATGATTACATAGATTAAATCATAGACTCCATGGGGATGGAGATACATGAGCTGAAAGCGCAACTTAAAAAAGGGTGTTGGGTGATCCAACGGAAAAGAAGACTAAAGCAGAGCTCTCTCGCTTACGACAGAGGAGCTTATCTAGAGAGCCACCAGTGAAAAAGTTCCCCATAAATGAGTCTGGGCAACAAAGCCAGTACAGAGTGAGGCAGCGAGTAGCCACACCCGTGGGTCACGCCGGAAAAGGGCTAAGAGGCAGAAGACGGTTAGCCAACAAACTGAATACCCTCCTTAAGACCTTCGTACTTGGTTGATCGACAACAAGCAGAACGAGTAACATTGGGATCATCTGGACCGTACCATTCACCAGAGAGAGCACCGAGCGCTGGATAGGCTCATCTCCTCGCCATTCTCCCCGGAAATTGAGGCGATGAGACCTCCAAACAAATTCACCCCACCAAAGTTTACTTCGTACGATGGGAAGTCGGACCCGCTGACACATATTAGCCATTACAGACAGATGATGTCTCTATAGAGCCGAGATGAGGCACTAATGTGTAAAGTCTTCCTAGCCAACTTGGGAGAAACCGGACTTCGATGGTTCGATCGACTCCCTGCTGGATCGATTCATGGCTGGAAGCAGCTCTCCGAAGAGTTTCTAGCCAGGTTTGTCTCCAACACTAGGATCTCGAAGGAGCCGGAAACGTTGTTCGGCCTCCGAAAGTGTCACGATCCAAACCTGCCCCTATAGGTTTAGCATCGTAACCGGCCAGTAATCCAAGATTACCAAAGACCTTCTTGTATAATCAAAATAATTGGGGCTTGCGGACGCAATATACAAACACATACCAATAGTCCAATGAGCTGTGCATCTATATGAACAAATAATCACATGCAAGAGTGTTAATTTACCCACTTACATTGCATAACATATAACACAACATATTATACAAAAACAGATGTACGGGTCAAAAAATGTATAACATAACCGAAAGCTTACTAACGGCCTTCCAGGCCTAGCCCCAACTCGGAGGCACCCAAAACACTTGGTAGGCTTCAAAACAGTGTCTCGGTAAAAACCCTCCTACACTTGCCCTTCAGAATGCTCACCTATAAATATATATATAAAAACGGTGAGCTAAAACCCAGTAAATAACAACTGTGTAAAGGGGTTAAGAATGGATGTCCTTTCAATAATTAAAACAGTCATTTACATCAGTAGTTCAATTATTCAATCAGTGGCTTATATTTTATGCCATATCAGCCAATTAGAAATCATAATAATCATATGTGGTACATCCAATAGCAGAACAGTACAGTAAACAGTAGGTCTTAATAGACCGAACAGTCAGCTGATGGCCATTAATACAGTAACAGTAGTTCTAAGGATAGGAACTGACAGAGATATCTGCAACAGTAGCAATAACAGTAACAGTAACAGTCAGTTGCTATGGATGCCACGAGTATAGTTCATAAAATAGGACAGACATTCATTCAGTAAACAATATCATTTCAGAAAATAGTACAGTTAATCATTCAGAAAATAATTATAATTTAACATAGCTTTATAACATTGTTACTCATAGAGGGCTTCCAGAAACGGTTGGTCAGTCTTTGAGTCTTGACCTACAAACATAAATGTACATAGCACAAAACATGTCTCATTATTACTCATTCATGTGATCATACATGGCTTAGCTTTCTTTCTTTAATTTCCTATTCATTTCATGCTACATAACTCGTTCATATTGCCCATATACTCGGATTCAACACATATTTTCTAATTCACTTACTTATGTTGTTCTTAGCTTATTAATCTTTAACGGCTCATAAATCATGCCTAAGAATGCCCATAAAGAGATGGGAGTGAAGATATGTACTTAAAACATCTTTTCAAAACATGCTGAAAATAAGTTGGTGGCTAGAGCCATCTTTTCTTGGCTAGAGCCAGCAGAAGGCAAAAACAAAGCTCGTTCGAGCCAGAACTCCTTCGCTCGAGCCAGCTTCTGCAGAGTTCAAAATTCTGAGAGCTCGTAATGTTGGCTCGAGCCACCACTTCTTCGCTCGAGCCAACTGTAAATTTCTGGGCATCAAGCTTAACAAAAATGGCTTCCAAACAACTTCCAAAACTTGGGGTCTTGCATGATTTGATCAAATACATAAAATAGCTTTAGAAAACTCCAATACAAGACCCTTAAAACATCTTTTATTCAAAAACTCATCAATTCTTGAAAGATTTGAATCAAAATTCCTTCATGCAATATTTCAACTTTTTTCATGGTTTTCATAACATGCAATTGGTGATTAAGAAACTCATGAATTCTGAAACCATGGACATGATTAAAGCTCACATGTATGCAAGGCCTTCAAGACCAAAACCCAAAACATGAATGAACAAGGTATAATCTTCCATAAACATGCATACAAGCCACTTTCTTGCTCAAAACCCATCTTCATTTCAAATTCCAATAGATGATTCAATAATTTTCTTAATACAAGATGCATGGAGGAATAGCTACAGAAATTAGACATAGAATCCTTACCCAAAGCTTAAATTTCAGAAATATGAGATGAATCCTCCTAATTTTTTCAATCTCTAGCACAAAAACAAGCCTCTCTCTCAAGAATGAGTTATCTCTCTCTCTAGCTCAAGACATTGATGAACTCAATGAAGCCAAATGAATGATATCACATTCCCTTAACTCTCAGCAGAATATACACAACACACACACTCTCACATTGAGCACAATACACGTGCACACACATGCATTATTCCAACACACCCACAAGAGTTTTAATCCTCTACATTCAATATCACCAAATGCCTCAACACATCATACACTCAATCACATCTTGGATCATGGATAGGATTAGATTAGGTGCCGATCATGCATCATTTAAATCAAACACAAGTAACCTTAATTAATCAAGGTTGGCACAAAATTCAATTATTCAAAAATAGTTCCAATTAAGGCTAAATTTAATCACATGCGATTTTACTAAACTGAATCAGTTTTTAACAAAACTTCTCAGATGGTTCCAAAAATTCTAATTAGTCAATCCATGTGCTCAATTCGGTTTCTGAAAGCATTTAGGCTAACAATTTCAGATTCAAAGTAGAAATCATGACAAATAATTTTCAAATCGGATAGATATGCACAAATTATTACAAAGCTCATATCACAATTAATAATAACACATAATTCCATTTTAAACACTTAGCTAGCATTCTTAATTACGAATTAGTAGCTAATTACGGACCGGGGTTGTTACAGAAAGGAGCAGGAGGAAACGCTGCGCAGTTACGCTAGGAGGTACTGGGAAGAGTACAACGACCTGGAGAAAAATGTGTGCAGCGAGCAGATGGCCGTTATGTCTTTCAAACATGGCCTGCGCCCAGAAAGTAAGTTTAGACAATCACTTACCAAGTGCCCGGCCACAGCATTGAAAGACTTGCGTGCCAGGATTGATCAGTATGCTCGCCTCGAAGATGATCAGATCCCCATCGAGTTAGCATCAGCAGAACAAACAGCTCGGCACAAGAAGAGAACAGATCGAGGAGAGCACCGAGGGATCACAGTGAATGAAGTGGATAAGTCCAAACCTCACAAAGCTGTTGTAACCGTATTCAAAGAGCCGATCTATCGAATCCTGGAAAAAATCAAGAGAGAGCCCTTCTTTGTCTGGCCACCGAAAATGTTGGGAGATCCTGCTCGGCGCAATCAAAAGCTCAGATGCACCTATCACCAAGATAGGGGGCACATGACTCAGAACTGTAGGGCACTAAAACAACACTTGGAGGATTTGGTAGCAGCTAGGCACCTCCGGGATTACATTGATCAGGATAAAAAAGTGACCGAACCGGGAAACCCACCACCAAAACCAAATATTGAGCACCCACCTCGGTTGATAATAAATGTGATCCATGGGACAGCGACTCAGGAACCTGAGGAGACACTAAGAGAAGAGATTACTAAGGTTGTGCAAATCCAACAGGTCATGTCAGTAGAGCCTGCATCGAAAAAGGTACGCACGACACCTAAATCCCCCTTGTGTACTATTTCGTTTACTAGAAAGGATTTAGAAGGCACACAGCACCCACATACTTATGCACTAATTATAACTGTGGGAATTGAGAAACGATTTGACGTAAAACGAGTCCTGGTAGATCAAGGCAGTGCCGCAGACATATTGTATTATGACTTGTTGAGAAAGCTTGGTCTCTCCGAGCAGCACCTCACCCCAACGGCAGCCCCGTTAGTTGGCTTCAATTCATAGCCAGAATGGCCGCTTGGCAGAATAGTGTTGCCAGTCGTGGCAAGAACAAAAACCCTCCAGATAGAGTTCCTAGTTATTAATACACCATCCCCTTACAACGCCATACTTGGCCGTCCATGGATTCATCAAATGGAGGCGGTCCCTTCAACCTACCACCAGCTTATCCATTTCCCAACGGAACACGGAGTAGAGCAGATCTTAGGGGATCAAGTTGCGTCCAAACATTGCTTCATGGCGGCATTAAAGGCCAAACAACTCTGCAATCGGGTACAGACAGTGGAAGTGGCAGAACAACCAGTCTTGGAAGATGTAGGGGGAGCCCCAGAGGAAAAGATAGTAGAGGATTTGGAGAAAATCCTGGTAAAAGAGGATGATCCAGAAAAGTACTTCCTTATCAATACCTCGCTAGGCGCTGATGAGAAACTTCAGTTACTGGAACTGTTGAGGGAAAATATGAAGGTATTCGCATGGTCAGCATATGATACTCCAGGGTTGGACCCAGAATTTGCTTACCACAAGCTCAACATCAACCCTTCTGCTCGGCCCGTTGTATAAAAAATTCAGAAATCCTCAGTTGAGCACACTGAAGCAGTAATTGCCGAAGTCGAAAAACTTTTGGTATCGGGAGCAATCGGAGAAGTTCAGTACCCGCAATGGCTGTCCAACACAATTGTAGTAAAAAAAAAGAACGGAAAATGGAGAGTTTGCGTTGACTTCACTTGCTTAAACAAAACCTGCCCTAAAGATAGCTTTCCGCTGCCTCGTATCGATCAACTAGTAGACTCAACAGCAGGGCATGAGCGCATGAGCTTTCTGGACGCTTATAGCGGCTATCACCAGATACCACTCTTCGATCCTGATCAAGAAAAGACAACATTCATCACTCTGAGAGGAATTTACTGCTACAAAGTGATGCCATTCGGCCTGAAGAACGCCGGAGCAACCTACCAGCGGATGATCACTCGGATGTTCAAAGACCAACTTGGGAAAACCATAGAAGCTTATATAGATGATATGGTAGTAAAAAGCAAGCTCGCTACAGACCACCTTACAGACTTGAGAGAAGTTTTTGGCATCCTGAAAAACCATCAACTTCGCCTCAATGCCTCGAAATGTGCTTTTGGGGTAGGAACAGGGAAGTTCTTGGGATATATGGTCACTCATAGAGGAATCGAGGTGAACTCGGACCAAATAAAAGCAATACAAGATCTTGAAGTACCAACAAAGGCTAAAGAGCTACAAAAACTGGTCGGAATGGTAGCTGCCCTGAATCGGTTCATCAGCAAATCTTCAGATCGGATGAAGCTCTTCTTCCAGCTTTTGAGGAAAAGGGCAGCGTTTGAATGGAGTTGCGAGTGTACCGAAGCACTGCAAAGTCTCAAAAGATACCTCAACACACCACCTCTTCTGTCCACTCCAGAATCAGGAGAGGAGCTGTACCTCTATCTAGCAGTCTCAGATCATGCCGTAAGCGCAGTATTAATTCGGGAAGTGAACAAGGAACAGAGGCCAGTGTACTATGTTAGCAAGACCTTACTAGATGCCGAGACACGGTATCTACCATTGGAAACGTTAGCGTACGCGCTGCTTATTGCCTCCAGAAAGTTACAACATTATTTCCAAGGGCATACCATTAACGTCCTCACCAAATTCCCTCTTAGATCTGTATTCAGCCGAGCTAATTTCTCTGGCCAAACAGCAAAATGGGCAGTAGAACTTGGTGAGTTTGACATTCGATATCAACCCAGGACGGCGATCAAGGCCCAAGTCTTAGCAGATTTCGTCGCAGAACTTGCTCCTACCTAGAGTACCGAGCCGGGGAATCCGAGTTCGGCACAAGTGCCACGCACCACCAAATAGGGAAAGCCCTGCCCTTCGGAAGCATGGAAACTCTTTATTGGAAACATCTGGCAGCTTTATGTTGACGAGTCGTCTAATAACTGAGGCTCGGGGCCAGGAGTAGTACTTATCTCACCAGAAGGATTTATCTAGGAACAGGCTCTCAGGCTCGGTTGGAAGGCTTCAAACAACAAGGCAGAGTACGAAGCGTTATTGGCTGGCTTACGTAGTGCCGAACACTTCAGTGCAGAACAGCTTCTTATTTTCAGCGATTCACAACTAGTGGTAAACCAATTTTCTGGGGTCTATGAAACACGAGATGAAAGAATGGCTATGTACGCAGGCAAGGCTAAAGACCTACTCAAAAAGTTTCAATCCATACGAGTGGAACGAATTAGTCGGGACAAAAACAGCCATGCTGATGCTCTGGCTTGTCTCGACTCATCAGTGGATACCAAGGATGCTAGAAAGTTCGGATTGAGTTCGTGCCAGAACCAAGCATTGCACCTCCAGTCCTCTGCAGCGACATAGAGCCGAGCTGGATGAATCCAATACTTGCTTTTCTAAAATCTGGTACTCTTCCCAAAGACAAAAAGGAAGCCAACAAAGTCAGACATAAGTTAACTCGGTTTTGGATCTCATCATCTGGGAAGCTGTACAGACGCTCCTATCTTGGCCCTTATCTTCTATGTGTGCATCCAAATCTGGTCGAGAATGTTTTCTACGAAATTCACGATGGGATTTGTGGATGCCACATTGGTGGAAGGTCACTGGCGCACCGAGCCCTTACTCACGGGTATTAGTGGCCACAGATGCAACAAGATGCGTAGCAGTACGTATAGAAGTGTGATAAATGTTAGAGGTTTGCTCCACTCATTCATCAGCCAGCCAAAACTCTCACTCCACTCACCAACCCATGGCCCTTTGCCCAATGGGGTCTGGATATTGTCGGACCATTGGTGCGAGGCACTGGGAACATGCGATTCTTTATTGCTGCAACCAACTATTTCACTAAGTGGGTTGAAGTCGAGGCGCTGGCAAGTATCAAAGAAGCAGATACAAGGCGGTTTGTCATGAGAAACGTGGTGGTGCATTTCGGCATCCCACGGATACTGATTGCGGATAATGGAACACAGTTCGATGGTAAGATCTTTAAAAAGTTTTGTGCCGACCTTAGAATTGAGTATAAGAACTCTTCTCCAGGATACCCGCAAAGCAATGGACAGGCAGAAGCGTCAAACAAAACCATCATCAACGGAGTAAAGAAACGACTGGAACATGCAAAGGGAAAATGGGTTGAAGTGTTACCCCACGTATTATGGGCTACCGAACCATAACACGGCGCTCAACGGGGGAAACACCTTACTCCCTAACTTATGGAATGGAGGCCATCATCCTACTCGAAGTAGGTCTCCCAACCCTTCGGTCTGAATTGTTTGAAAGCACCAGTAATGAGGAAGCTATTGCACAAGCACTGGATATGGCAGAGGGCTGAAGAGAATCAGCACTGATCAGACTTGCAGCGTATCAGCAGCAGATCATCAAGAGTTTCAACCAAAAAGTTTTCCCAAGGCAATTTACACCTGGAGAACTGGTTCTGAGGAAAGTTATGGATCACAAAAGGGTGCCTGGCAAGGGCAAACTTGGGCCTAACTGGGAGGGTCCGTACAAAGTCACAGTTGTTGTTGGAAATGGAGCTTACTACCTAGAGGATCTAAAAGGCAGAGCTATACCTTGGCCCTGGAATGTAGCAAATCTCATGAAATACTATCAATAGAATTATCCCCCAACTTCTCTATCAGAATGTAAAGGCATTTATCTGTTGACCAATACAAATGCTTCCCCATTTCTCTCATAACTATCAAATTCTTGTAATTAGCTTTAATGTTTATCGAACGAAATTAGCTTTGTGTAGACGTCCCCGAACGCCCCAGGGGGAAATCTCCCTTTTTGTTCATTGGGCTCACTACAGTTCAGGACTCAAAGTCACGGTCCTATATCTAATCTCACAGAGTGCAATGCAAGACCAATGAATCATCAAAGAGTCCAAATCCGGCAAATCGTTTTTGAAAACAGATTTTTTGAAAGAAATGCCAAACATGGACTGCTTTGCCAGATACAAAGTCGCTACCTAAATATTTTATTTTGAGAAATTTAAGAAACCTTGACTCGTTGCCTAAGGCCATGTGTCCGTCATCACCAAAGTTGCCTCGGCTCGGGAACTTGGGTACGATTGGGGAAGGTCACTTCGTGAGCACCCCCGCTCGCCCGATCAAAGATCGGCCTCTACTAACCATGATATCGAGTTTTGAAAACATTATGCGTTCTTATTCCGGTTATTAGCCTAGATTTACTATGTGATGCGCACAGCATACAAGTATAGACTAGATCGCCTGAATTGGAACAAAACATCTCATGTTTGTTTTTTTTGAAAATGGTTTGATGGTGCTACTCGTAAGTAGGCTAAGACGTGGATTTGCCACCCTCGGGTGGGCTTAGAAAAAATTGATGTTGCCACTATCTAGCGGCTTAAAACTCACA